GAAACTGGATACAATTACTTAGGAAATGAATGTAGATGGAGAAGAAGTCTGAAGCCTGAGTCTTGGGGCCCCAAGCCTTTTTAAATACTGAGATGAGGAGGAGCCAGCAAAGGAGATTGACTGGGAGAGGCCAGAGAAGAGAACAGAAACTACTCTCAGGCTAACTTTTTTCACTTTCTTTTGGAATAAGAAGCAGAAATTGTCTCAGTACATGAATTTATCTCATTTCTTTGTTCAGGAAATAGAATGCTTGGGTCCTCAAGTGTTTTTCCTTTTTTGCTCTGAGTGCCAAATTGTATTTAATAGTACCAGTCTACATCTTAGTCCTTGTGGCATTTACACCTCTACTCCAAGTTTAAGTAGAATTGCTTCTCTTTTAAACTTTATTAAATACCCTTTTTGCAGTATTCTGCCACTCTCCACCGTATGTTCACAGGTGGCTCTTAGTCTTTAGCCAGTTCATTGTCCTTCCCAGTCTGATTCCTAGCAAAAATAGGAAGTCGGTCTTGTTCTTTTCTGTACCTCTGTGCAGAGTGGTACAGAGTTGGAATTCATGAATATTTATAAGATAAGTTAATGTATAAAAAGGGAATCTTTTCCTCTTCCCTGTGGTAATGATACAGTCTATTCAGTGGTTTACAGTTTAAGAAGAACACAGACATTCGTTGTCTCGATGGAGTGTAATCTGGTCTGTTACCATTTGCCCACTCCTAACCTTTTCTATCTCTGAGAGATGTGGAAGCCTACCTTTCCACTGGAGTTCCCTAGTGCATTCCCTGGTGGACCTGAGAGTGTTAATAAAAGAGTGCTGAGCTGTGTTCAAGGAAGTTCAGGACTAAATTATATTATCAGAAAGTTCCCTGATGTAATTTTTTCTACCTCTTCCTTTTTATTCTTTCAGTGAGTTTCAGATTTATGGCAAAAATTTTTTTTTAACTATAAAACACTTCAAGGGGCTGGTGGAGTGGCTCAAGTGGTAGAGCAAGCATGAGGCCCTGAGTTCAAACCCCAGTGCCACCAAAAAAATTAATTAAAACCAAACAACCAACAAAAAAATACTTCAGGGGCTAACAGAGTGGCTCAGGTGGGCTAACAGGTGCAAGACTTTCAGCTTAACCTCCCCCCCAATACCTCAGGAAAAAACAAAAATCTACTTAAATCATCTTTTTAAAATAGACTTTATTTTGTTGTTAGGTGTAGTAGAGAATGCCTATAATCTCAACAGCACCTGGGAGGCTGTTCAGGAGGATGCGAGTTCAAAGCAAGACCCTGTCTCCATAAAAAAAAAGAACTTTATTTTTTAAAGCAATTTTAGATTTACAGAAAAATTGAATAGTGTAGAGAATTCCTACATACCCTGCACCCAGTTTCCCTTATTCAGCATTATCTTACATTAATATGGTATATTTGATAGTTTCAAATCATTTTTTTGAGATAAATGGGGTATATGAATAACATAGGAAAAAAAAATAAATTTACTTCACCTCTGTAAGCTTTAGTTTCCTTATCTGTAAAATGAGAGGGTTACACTAAATTTCTTAAAGGTTTTCTGTTTTTTTAATTAATTTATTTTTTTTCTCCTTTTTATTTTATCATTTTTACATTTACTTACATTGTTTGTACTACAACCCCCCCCCCGCAACACTAAATTTTTAATAGCTCTAAAGTTTTAAAATTTATCTGCTAAGTACAATTATCATATAACTAATATAATTTCTTTTTTTTTTTTTCCTTGGTGGGACTGGGGTTTGAACTCAGGGCTTTGCACTTACAAAGCAAGCACTCTACCACTTGAACCATACTTCCAGTTCATGTTGCTCTGGTTATTTTGTAGATGGGGGAGGGTCTCGAAAACTGTTTACCTGGGCTAGCCTTGAACTGCGATCCTCCCAATCTCAGCCTCCCAAGTAGTTAGGATTATAAACATAAGTCACTAGCACCTAGCTCTTAATTCCTTTTTTTTTTTTTTTTTTGCAGAAAAAATAATGTTTGCATGTTACTGGCATTCTTACAGTAAAAGAGGATTTATCAGAATCTAGAACTTTGGCAGTGGTGCTTATAGAAACATTAGGTAGAATGACATGAAATTGCTGTTTTTGTAGGTAAAAACTAATGGATAAATATTAGCAATTTCATATGGTTCAACCTAATATTTTGAGATAAGTATTCAAAGGAAGGTGAGGGAACCTTTGGGGCCTCTGAAACTTCTCCTGTGTGTAAAAGCTTTGCTCAACCCTCACAGTGTTAAGAGAGAAAAGGCACCTCAGTTCCTTTAAAACAACACATATCTACTCTTATTGTTGGTAGAGTATTGGCAGAAATCCTGGAGAAAGAGCAATATCCTGGAAGATCTGTCACTATCCAGCAGAAAGGGATTAAATTCTGCTGAACTCAACAGAGAGGGATTAAATTCCATTGAATTTGGCAGAGTCAACATTTCATGGAGCCTTGGTGAATTGGTTCCACAGCCCTGGTGAAAAGAAGCACAGAACAGGAGGATGTTTTTAGTATGGGGGAAGGCTACACTACCCTGATCTGGGGTAGTGGTGCCACCAGGCCTTTCTTGGTGCCACTATATTCCTACTTTATTCCTTACTGTCTAAGATATGCTGTGCAGACTTAGGTACATTCAGTCACCCAGGAGGTAATGTAAGCTGAGTTTTTCTCTTATTACTCTATTATGGGGACTGGAGGTGTGGCTCAAACAGTAGAGAGCACCTGCTTTGTAAGCATGAAACCCTGAGTTCAAACCCTAGACCCACCAAAAAAAAAAGAAAGAAAAATAGAAGCACAAATGCAGTGACAAATGACAAGTGAGATCTGCTATAAGCATGAGAGAGAAAGCAGCATTAGGGGAGGGAACTATGGTGAACTAGAGAGTGCTTGCTCTATCCAAACTGCAGCTCAGCTCCTTGTAGGAATGTATCTCAAGGATCAGAAGATAATCTGAGTTTCTAGAGGAGCCAGAAATACATATTTTTCTTTTCCTATTACTGGGGATTGAACTCACAGCCTCATATTTGCTAGGCAAGCACTCTACTTGAGTCACGCCCTTAGTCCTTTTGCTTTTTAGTTTGCTTTTCAGTCAGGATCTCACACCAACTTTGTCTATGCCGGCCTTGAATTGAGATCTTCGTACCTCTGCCTCCCAAGTAGCTGAGACCAGGTACGCACCATCATACCTGGCTTGTTTTTGAAATAGGGTCTTGCTAACTTTTGCCCAGGCTGGCCTGGAACTATGATTCTCTTGCCTTGGCTTCTTGAGTACTGGGATTACAGGTGTGTACCATGATGCTTGGCCCAAACTGTTTTCTTATCTTTTTGTTTTTGTTTTTGTGGGACTTTTTGTTTTTGTTTTTGTGGGACTGGGATTTAAACTCAGGGCTTCATACAGGTGCTCTACAGCTTGAGGCACACCTACAGTTCCCATACTCTTTAATTTTCTTTTTGTTTTGTTTTTGTGGCACTGGAGTTTGAACTCAGGGCCTCACACTTGCCAGGCAGGTGCTCTACCACTTGAGCCACTCCTCCAGCTCCTTTTTATGTTGGGTATTTTTGAGATACAATCTTGCTTTCACTTTGTCTGGGTTGGCCTCAAACCATAGTCCTTATCTCTGCCTCCCATGTAGCTAGAAACTTATCTCTGCCTCCCACATAGCTAGGAATTACAAGTGTGAGCCATTGGCGCCGGGCTCCCAGAGTATTTTTTTGATAGATGGTTGGAAATACAGATATTCCTTAACCCTCATGGTGTACATCTTAGGGTTAATAACATAAAGGAATTTCCCTACTCCCACCATTCAAATTATAGAATACTTGTGTATTTTAGAGAACTAAGAAATTCAAAGGCCAGATAACTGGATGCTTTGACCTTTGGATGAGTAGACTGAAAGGGAAATGGCATGCTTGAGGTTACAGAGCCTCATCCAGAACTTTTCTTTACTTCCATACTTCCCTCTCTAATGATATCTGAAGATCATGGTTTGCCTGGGCCCTACTACCTGTGGGTGGCCCATTGCCCTATTTTGGCCCAGCTGTCCTGCTGCATTTGGTTTCTTTTCTCTTTTGGATCCCTTGCCCTTTTTATTTGTCAGGGAGTCAGATTACTCATGTTCAAACCCCTCATCAAACAAATGCCAGCTGTGGGAACAGGTTCAAGTTGCTTAACCTTTCTGAATCTCTGCTTCCTCATTCATGTATAGTTATAATAGTATCTGCAGTGAAGTGTGATAGGAAGGCATTGAAAGGTTTTAAAGTGCTCAGCAAAGCAACTGGCTCAAAGAAGCACTCAGCAAGTATGACTATGGCATTGATCAACCAAATAGTTCACTGCCCCGTCAAGCTGGATGAGGTGCCCATGTTATCCTGTGATGTCTCTATTTTTGCACATGCCACATTGTAATTGTTTTTGTCTATGACTTGCCAGAGGAACAACAGCTTCAGTGATTCATTGGGTGACTATCTGTTACTCATTGTGCCAGATACTAGGATGCAATGGCAAACCAGGAGCTCTTGGTTAGTGCAGAGATCTAAAGGCAAGCCAGGAAACACTAGTCCTGTGAGTTTTCTCTTGATCCATTAAATTTGGGAAATGATGCCCATCATAGCCCCTCTTAGAGATCAGGGTCCATCTTAGTGTTTTAAAGGTTCTGAGGAGTCCTGTAGTAAAGGAACCTATTTACTTTGTCCAACCCAGCTTTACCATACTTAATAAATGTTTGTTGAATAAATTTAAGTCATCTAAATAGTCCTTTTAGTTATGTTATGTGCTTTGGTCCCCAGCTCAAGAGAAAGTCAAAGAGGCACAGCAATGGTCAGAGACCCTGCTAGGAGCATACAGCCTCTGGCTGCATAGGGACCTGCGAGCTTGCTATCTGTTGCCCCCATGGAGACAGGAAGCCCTGGGTTGAACATGAAGCCCCAGTCACTGCAACTGGTGCTGGAGAAGCAAGTGCTGGCGCTGCAGCAGCAGATGGCAGAGAATCAGGCAGCCTCTTGGCGGAAGCTGAAGAGCTCCCAGGAGGCCCAACAGAGGCAAGCAACCCTCGTGAGGAAGCTGCAGGCCAAGGTGAGGTAGCTGCTGTACTGGAGAGGGAAAGAGAACGCCTCCCAGAGCTGTGCCCTGGGGTAGGATAAGAGCTGGAGGAGGCAGAGCCATGTGGGGGAACGGCCTAAACCTTACCTGGACCTTCCAGCTTTCACCCGCAGCCTCTCCTTTGATGCTCACAACTAGTTCATGTAGTATGAGTATGTCTCTTTAAAAGATGATATCTGCAAGGGTTAAATTAGTTATCTAGATTTGTTGTTCTAGTCTAGAGCTAAGACCTGATCCCTAGGTTTTTTGGTTTTTGCCTCTCCAATACCAGCAGTATATTGAATGTCTTTTTTTTTTCTTTTCTTCTTTTTTTTTTTTGAGACAGGGTATCACTATGTAACTACATAACCCAGGCCTCCACCTCCCAAGTTCTGGGCTTACAGGCATGCACCACCATGCCCGGCCTTGATTCTTTAAATGCACAAATAGAAACTATGGGATGTTATGGTCTTACCACACCATTACCACCTAGCTCCCCTGTTCACAGAAGGTTTGCCCAAGATCCCTGTAGGCTTTTGGTTTGGGCTGTTTCTAACAGCTATGTCCATTGCTCAGGGCCTGCTCTGTTTGCTGCAGGTATTGCAATACCGGAGCTGGTGCCAAGAACTGGAGAAGCATCTAGAAGCCACTGGAGTGAGTGAGATTGAGTTCCATGCTCCCCTGAGTCAGGCTTCATATGCTGCCTGCATGAGACTGGAATGTGATATGGGGCTTTTGGTTGAAGCCTTTTCTATCTTCCACCCCTGAGATCCCTGTTCTTCCTTGGGCCTAGCTATGCTGGCCTGAGAGATTCCAGTCCCTTGGTTCTCTAGGAACTAATGCAGCTTCAGGGCACTTAGCAGAATGGAAGCATGCAATTAATGGAAGAAATGCACCTTTCCTCCACCAGGTGTCAGTGTTTATCTGTCATAGAGAGATTTGTGTCTCTGTGGGCCTACAAAGCATGTCTGCAGCAGAGAGATGATTGGGTAGGACAGGCCTTGAAAGACCTATGTGCCTTTGTTCTAGCTCCCTCAGCCATCTTCTCACATTCCCCTCAGAATGTTCTCTTAGAAGGAGGATATCAAAATGTATTGAACACCTATTCAGGCCAGGCACTATTAGGCAAATGTGTATAATTATGTTACTTAGTCTGCAAAACAACTTTCTGAAGACTATGATAGCACCTTCATTTTGAAACTGAAGACACTGAGGCACCAAGATATTTTGTTTTGCCAATAGGAGAAGGGGACCAGGAACTAGAGAAAAGGTTAGTTTGAGAAGAATTAACTTAGAAGGTAACACACATGTACAGGAAATCAATGCATGTCAACTCCCTGTACAGCTATTCTTATCTCAACTAGCAAAAACCCTTGGTCCTTCCTATTATTGCTTATACTCTCTTCAACAAAGCTAGAAATAAGGGCAAAATAGTTTCTGCCGGGTATCGAGAGGGTAGGGGGGGAGAGGGAGGGGGCGGAGGGGGGGGAATAAGGGAGGGTACGGGGGAAGGGGGGAGAAATGACCCAAACATTGTATGCACATATGAATAAAATACAAATTAAAAAAAAAAAAAGAACAGGACATTAAAAAAAAGATGTTTTGTTTTATCTTTTGGTGAGACAGGTTTGAATTCAGGGCTTCATCCTTGGAAAGCAGGTGCTTTCCTGCTTGAGCTATGCCTCCAGTCCGTTTTGTTCTGGTTATTTTGGAGATGGGCGTCTCTCAAACTATTTGCTTGGGTTGGCCTGGAACTGATCCTCCTGATCTCAACCTCTTAAGTAGCTAGGATTATAGGCATGAGCCACTGACGCCCCTCCAAGATGTTAATTGACCTCCCAAAGTCCAAAGTTAGTATAATAGAATCAAGGCCATTGGTAAAAAAATACATTTTAATGCTTCTTAAGTTAAATTTCATTCTCCACCAACTGCCATCTTTCAGGAGAGGTCATTGGTTTGCCTTTGGAGAGAGGAGTACAGTGGATTTGCTTTTAGGATACAATGATAGAGAAAAGAAGCAACTTGCTAACGAAGGGAAGAAAGAATAAAAAGAAAGTGGGCTGCTATAGAAGGAGGCATCCAGGAATGGGCCTGAGTATTCTCTGAAGGTGAATAAGGCTTGTCTCTGTTTGGCTAAGGGACCGGTCCCTCGGCAGTGGGAAATGGAGGAGCCAAACCTGGAACAGCTGCTAATCCGATTGGAGGAGGAGCAACAGAGGTGATGGATCCCAAATTTCCTGACCTGGATGCTTGGCCAGTGGGTAGAAAAGGCTGATGACAAACCTCTCTGTCCTGAAGGTTAACATGTATTAGAACCCAGTCTTAGCCCTGTAATTCCTGGCAATGGAAAATTCCACTCATTGTCACTGTACTCCAAAGATATCCAAGGGTTAGAATAGACCTTTATTTTGTACTTGCTCTTAACCTTTCCCCAGTACAGGTGTGAGAGTCTAGCAGAGGTGAACACTGAGCTTCGGCTGCACATGGAAAGAGCTGATGTGGTGAATAAAGCCCTTCGGGAAGATGTGGAAAAATTGACAGTGGACTGGAGTCGGGCCCGGGATGAGCTAATGAGGAAGGAGAGCCAATGGCAGATGGAGCAGGAGGTAGGAAGAACAGGGTGGGACTGTGAGAGGAGCGACGTACATTCTGGGCACTGCCCTCGTCAGTGCTGGAAAAGGTTAACTTCAGGACTTGGGTCATTGTTAAAGTCTCTGACCATACTCCCCCGTACTGATAGCTTTGCACTGCTTAGGCCTTTTTAGTTCTGTCATTGCCCACTATTCTAGGCATTGCAGATAGGTGGCAACTGTTCTTGCAAAAGCAACTACCTTAGGGCTGGAGGTGTGGCTCAAACAGTGGAGCACCTGCCTAACAAGCATAAAGCTCTTGAGTTTAGACCCTGGTACCACAAAGAAAAAGAAAAAGGCAAGCTTAGGTTTTAGATTGATATGAAAGCTTAATGAATCCCTTCATCAGGAGGTCTGCATATCTAGATGCTAAGAAGGTCACTGCTAAATTGAATGGAGAAGAAAAACTAGTTATGGACCATGGGTAATTGTCAGATTCCCAGCTAAAGGAAACAAATGTTTCCTGAGCCTTTGGTCTGTTCTAGCGTTGTATATATATATAAATAATTCTCTTTGTAAGTCTATGGTAATAGATCCCACTTGTTAAACAACTACTGTATATTCTTTTCAATTCTAGTCCAGAGGAAAGCCACTTACTATCTGAGGCTCTTTGAACTCTTAAATCCCACTGCCAACTTTATTAAACTCTTCAGCATAACTTGCATATGGACATCCATTCATAAGCTCTCTGTTTAAAGTCCTTCCATCCCCCAGCCAGGAGGAGTCCAAGACTCTTGTATTGCTACAAGATAATCCTCTGCCCTTGGGTATGACCTGGGTTTTTGAACACACAGTTCTTCAAGGGTTATCTGAAAGGAGAACATGGTCGCCTTCTCAGTCTGTGGCGGGAGGTGGTGACCTTCCGACGCCACTTCCTGGAAATGAAGTCAGCTACTGACAGGTCAGTGTGGAGATAAGGGAGGAGATTTGCCTCTACCAATTCTAGACTTAAGGCAGTGGGCTGCTGTAGAAGAGGGGATTGGGCAGGGATTAAGTGGGGTGGGGTGGAGTGAAGATAAGGAGACTTGCTATTGTTGGAGTCTGGTGATTTTTTTTCCCAGCCCCTAACCCTTAGGTTTATTAGGACTGATCTTCACACTCCCTTACTTGGTCCTAATCAGATTCTGTTCTTTTCCTTTCTTGTGCTCAGAGATCTGACAGAGCTAAAGGCTGAATATGCAAGGCTTTCAGGGTCCCTGCTGACCTGTTGCCTGCGCTTGACTGTGGGAACACATTCTCGGGAATCCACTGGATCTGGGAAAATGGATGAGAGTGAGCCAGCTCAACTGCTAATGCTACTAGCCAAGACCCAGGCACTGGAGAAGGAAGCCCATGAGAGGAGCCAGGAGTTATTACAGCTGAAAAGTCAAGGAGATCTGGAGAAGGCTGAGCTTCAGGATCGGTGAGATAGCCCGCAGTCCCAAAAGGAGTTTCCTGAGGGAAAGCTGACTCTCTTAGAGAAGTAGGGATAGGCATGGGAGATGCGAAGAGCACTCACAGCATGAGAGGGGGAAGGAAATGTGTCAAGAGCGTCTAATATGAAAATCAGTGCCACAGGTGGAGCTTGTCACTGCCCTCCGACTATCTTGCAGCTTAATTTCTTTCCTGCTGACTTATGCAGCTAGTGGTCCTCATCAATACCAAACTACTTGCTATTCTATTCTTCTCTGCCTTTGTCCATGGTGACCTTTGCCTAGAATAACTCCCTCCCTTTCCTCTCTGCCTTGTCCTTTAAGGAAGATGTATCACCTCTTCTGTGAAGCCTTCTCTGACTTCAGTAGCCTTTTATGTTACCAAGTCCTTTATGGTCTTTTGACCTGCTTGTTACAGCATTGACCTCATTATTTAGCTTCTCCTTTTTTTTCTTTCATTCTCTCTGTTTTTTTTTTACTTTTTCTTTCTTCTTCTTCTCTTTCTTTTTGGTTAATTTTATTTATCTACTTATTTTTGCAGTGCTGGGATCAAACCCAGGGCCTCTCACACATGCTAGTTATGCAGGTGCTCTATCACTGAACTACAGCACTACCCCAGCTACTTTTTTGTTTATTTCTTTTTCTTTATTATCCCAGCTATTTTATTTTTTGGATATTAATGAAATAGGATTTTTAAAACAATGATAAGAAAGGCAGGAGCATAAACAGAATCCCATTGACTATCAGGGCAAAGTTTATGCTCCATGGATAGGGTTATATCTCCACCTACTGACAGTATACATAAATTAGAGTAGTAAAGTCAGGTATGGTGGCACTTGCCTATAATCCCGGTACTTGAAAGGCTAGGCAGCAGGATTGAAAGTTTGAGGGTATCCTGGGCAACTGAGCAAGACCCAGTCTCAAAAAAAAATTGGAGAACTGTTTTGTTTTGTTTTGGTGGGGAGGCACTGAGCACAAAAATCGTGTCTAAGTTTTGTGTCTACTGCTTTGCACTTCATCTACCATGTAGTAGACATTTAATAAATGTTTGCTGAATGATATAGTAATTAAATGAATGACTATAAGTGACAGGCTCTTAGAGATGATACAAATACAATTATTAAGACTTAAAAAAAAAATTTAAGGCCTGGCAGAGTGGCTCAAAGAGAGAGTATCTGCCTAGCAAACATGAGGCCCTGAGTTCAAACCCCAGTCCCACCAAAAAAAAAAAAACAAAAAAAACTCCTAGATGATACTCAGTTAGGAAATACTTGTTTAGCCATTCATATAAAACCAGGCACTACACTCCAAGATGCAACGTTAAGTGATAAAGATGTCAGTGATTTTGCTGGACTTTGATCAAAGATTAATGTCAGGAAGGTTGACTATACTCTCTCCCAAGTTACCCCTCCTTTTTTCCTATCAGAGTCAGAACCTTGGGCTGGAGGCACCTTGGGAGTATCCCATGTGGCAATTCTGATGTTCTTATTGGCTTCAGGGTGCTTGACTTCAAGATCAAGCGAGGCCTGGAATGGCCTGGGCCAGAGCTTTCCTTCAGCTCTCGGGCCCCCCAGACACGTGTTCCAGCCTTGAGATGTGGTAAATCCCTGCATGTGTCTGAGTGGCTTTTGGCTTTCCCCACCGGTTCAAGGCTATAGCATCAAGTATGGTATTCAGGGGGAACCCGAGGGATTATGTGTATGTGTGGGGGGGACCTGCAGTGGGAGTGACTATGCTGGGACTGGGCTGTATTCATAATAGCTCTGTCCACATCTGTGGGCTGCCAGGGTGATAGTGCTATGCTCTTCTCTTTAGGGTAACTGAGCTCTCTGCTCTCCTGACCCAGTCTCAGAAGCAAAATGAAGATTATGAAAAGATGGTAAAGACTCTGAGAGAGACAGTGGAGAACCTGGTATATGATTCTTTGTTCTGAAAAGAAGTTGGGAGTGGGTTTGTAGGTTCCTTACTCCTTATGGACAGATTGTGAAGAATATCAGCTAAATATTCCTTGATGAAATCCTGCAAAGCTAGAAAATAAATTTTAGTTGAATCTAAAAATTAATGATAATGATAAAACTTATTTTATCCATTCACTGTATTCCTAATGAAATAACAGTGACATATATATGCAATGTTTCCTTGTCAGAGACAGATGGCACATACATTAAGAGATACACTGTCAAATTAACAAGGTACCAGGAAGGGGATATGCAGAGAAATTTAAGAACTAGTCACTTAAGAAACAGCAGCATTACCTGTTAAGCCTATCGCAGAAAGGACCTGAGGGAGACTCGATGGCTGTCTTCACATATCTGAATGTCTGACATTGGGGAAAAAGGAGTTAGCATGTTGAGTGTTTTCTAGGATAGAACCAACATCAGTGGCTAGAGATAAAGGATAGTGGGTTTTGGCTCAAGCTGGAGCTGTTCATTTGACCAGTCTGTCTTGTGAAAAAGTAAGGGTTTGATCACTTAACATCTGCCAGGGATGTTACCAAAGGGATTCTCTAAGATTAGATATTAGAATCCCTGGCTTGATTCCTTGTTTCTTTTCATCACAACAAATTTTCAGATCTCTGATTATTTAGGCATCTCCTGAATCTCTACCCACATACACACCCCTAATCTTCTCATCTGATTTGGGGTCTACTGGGAGGCAGATTTATTTGTGCCTTTTGATTCCTGTTTGTCAGGAATTTGCCAGTTCAGACTTTCACAGGGCTTAGGTAATGTAAATGGATGAAGTAAATTGGGTTATCAGAATTCTGGTTCCCCAGTGCTGTCATGTGTAGTTCTCAGTGCTGCCAGGGGCACTTGGGCTCAGTACAAAGGAAACAGTGAGAAGGAATAAATGTTTCATGTCAAGGAGGCATCCACTGTTCAATTTCAGTGAATTATTTCCATCTAGAAATGGGGGTTTGGGTTAACATTTTTTTTTGTGGTAAGGGGTTTGAACTCAAAACTTCACACTTGCTAGGCAGGTGCTCCACCAATTGAGCCACTCTGCCACCCCTTGTTTCTGTTGGGTATTTTTGAGATGTCTTGAACTATTTGCTTGGGCTGGCTTTGACCTATGACCTTCCTGATCTCTGCCTCCTAAGTAGCTAGGATTACAGGAGTGATCCACTGGTGTTCAGCTTCTTTTTTTTTTTTCTTTTGTGAAACAGAATTTTACTGTAGAGCTCAGACTGGCCTCAAACTTGGAATGTTCCTGCCTCAGCTTCCCAAGTGCTGAGATTAAAGTGTGTGTCACCACACCTATCCCTTAACTTTTTGAGAGAAGCCAGAAGTTCAGATTTTTTATTCGAATTTTGTATAGGCCAAACATATAGCTGTAGGTCTATGTCTCTGGCTTATCAACTTTGGGCCTCAGGCATCAATTTATTGTTTATGGCAACTACCTCCCATCTAATAACAGCTCACATTTATTGAGTATTTGCCTTTGCAACAGGCAGTAAGTTGAGTCATTTATCTGTAGTTTTTCATTTAAGCCTCCAAACACACTTGTTAAGTAATTGCTGGTAATTATTCCTATTTTAAGAGAAAGAAGTTCAAAGGAGTTGTCTAAAGTTACTAAGTTAGTAAGTTATAGAGCAAGAACCTTCACTAGGCAGTCTAATTTGGAGCTTTTAATCATGTAATCTGAATTTTTTATCACTGCATTGTATTGTCTTCAGATGCCTTGGAAAAGCAGAGTTGATGGAATAAGAATTTGGTTGATTTGGGTTCTGGAAATAGGAATTCTCTCTTGAGAGTTTGGCTCCATTCTGTTCCCTGTTCAGGAGACAAGTCATGCAGAGTTAATGGAACATGAGACATCTCTTAGTAGGAATGCCCAAGAAGAAAAGTTGTCTTTGCAGCATGTGATCAAGCATATAACCCAGGTACTGGTAAGCCTCCTGTTGTGGTAACTGGGTAATGCCTTATTCCCAGGCCTCCATGTCCTCTCAGTCTGCCTTGATTGCCTTTGTGTAGGCTTAGGGTCATGTAAGGATGAGTTCTCTGAGTGTATTTTAAGACTGGAATGCTAAGGGGTAGGTAAGCATTCATGTCCTACTACGTGTGGTGGGACAGGCCCTCTATCTTGTTGCCATGTGCAGTTCTCAGGACTTAGGTTGAATTGTGGTCTTTGTGACAGCAATAGTCCCTTCTTCCTTAGTTCCTTCATTTTTTATTACCCCTGAGAGGGTTTTAGACTTGTTGCTAATCCTAGACTTGGGTGACCAAAGGCAGAAAGTTGAAGGATGGTCCAGTCATTTTTGCTCTCAGATACCTGTCCCTGTCCCCACCTCAACTACTTCCCCCACGGAAAGGACTTAAGAAGGAAAATCTCAGGTTCCTATAGGCTGTCATGTAAGTTCCTCTGTACACTATGGCCTCAGTCAGTAGGGTGGTGACACTGTTGTGTTGGGTTTCAGGCTTTGGTGGATGAAACGGACAGTATGGCCCAAGGCTGTGGTCATGAGAGCCCTTTGGAATTGGACTCTCGTGACTTCTCCTCCCAGGACCCTGACAAGGCTCTTACTCTGGTGTGTTCGGTACTTACTCAGAGACGCCAGGCTGTGCAGGTAAGAACCCCTATTGCTCCTCAGCCATGGGGTTGGAGGCTTAAACTGATTTGTGCCCCAGATACCTCCCTAGCCTGGACTGCCTCTTTTAATTGACCAGTTGTTCAGTCAGTACCCCAGAGTGCCCATTAGAATCTCTCTGTGTCTGCCCAGTGGTGCTTGTTGGAACAGGCATGTTCTCCATGCTATTAGCGTACTTTACTTTACATGTGATCTTTGCAGAACACTATGCAAAGAGCCCTGGGAGAGTATGGGTAGGTGTTAGCTCACTCTGAGGTGCTCAGGCACACTTAACCATCCCTCATGCCACTGAGCATTTGAAGATGACAAACTCTAAAGACTGTAGAGCTGCAAAAGCCAATAACCTCTGATCCTCTGACTTCTTGACTGGTCAACATCTCCAGTCTTAGCTTACCCTTGTTGCGTCAGTCTTTAACTCCCTATCCAGTTCTGCTCTCAGGCTTCTGAAATCGCTCCTTTTCCCTTGACCTCTTGCTCATCATCTTGTTTCTACTGCTCTCCCTTCACAGGACCTAAGGCAGCAGCTTTCAGGCTGCCAGAAGACTATGAGCTTCTTGCAGCAGCAGCACGATCAGTGGGAAGAAGAGGGCAAAGCCCTGAAAGAGCGGCTGCAGAAACTCACTGGGGAACGGGATGCTCTGGCAGGGCAGACTGTGGGTCTCCAGGGAGAGGTGGACTCTCTCAGCAAGTGAGCAGACCCACTGTCCATCCCTTCTTTCCATGTCTGATCTCAGTCCTGTGTCCTCATCTAGCCATGTACCCATCCCATCAAGTTTTGTTTTTATTTTTGTTTTTTCAGTACTGGGGCTTGAACTCAGGGCCTTCACCTTGAACCACTCCACCAGCCCTATTTTTGTCAAGGGTTTTTCAAGAAAGAGTGTCACAAACTATTTGCCTGGGCTGGTTTTGAACCATGATCCTCCTGATCTCTGCTTCCTAAGTAGCTAGAATTACAGGCGTGAGCCTCTGGCTCCTGGCCCATCATGTTTTTAATTGGTTCGTCTTGCTGTCCCTGAGACCCAGGGCTGCTCAAGGTTGCTTTGTTTTATATTCTGCTTGTCCCTGCAGGACAAACTTTGGGATTTTGAGTCTTTGAGATTATAAAAAAACCGACTTTCCATGTTGAAAGAAAAACAAACACCTCTCTCCTTTGACCCTGTGATGTCTACTTCCAGCAAGGATTTTGGGTTCTTAGGTCTGCTCATCTTTGGTCTCTTCCTTCCAGGGAGCGAGAACTCCTGCAGAAGGCAAGGGAAGAGCTGCAGCAGCAACTGGAAGTGCTGGAGCAAGAGGCATGGCGACTACGAAGGGCAAACATGGACCTGCAGCTACAAGGGGACACTGCCCAGGGGGAAAAGGAGGAACAGCAGGAAGAGCTGCTCCTGGCTGTCAGAGAGAGAGAACGTCTGTAAGTGTGACCATTCCCCTCTTTGCTGGGGTCTGGTCTTCACTCTGTTCCAAACCTTTCCCTACTTAGTCCCCTCTCTTAGGAAGTAGAATATCCAGAAGCCCAGCATGCAGTGTGTTCAGATTAACTTACTGCTCCTTCCTTTGCAGAAAGATGAACCCAGAAAGTTCATCCCAACTTTGCTGAGCACCCATAGGGAAGAGGCACTGTGGGACACACAGAAATGAGTAAGACAGGCCCTGATCTCAAGGAGCTTGCAATCTAATGGAGAAGACAGACAAGTAAACCACTGTGATGTGAGGGTACATGAAGTATGAGCTAAACGGAGCTTCAAGCTTGGTGTTTGGGGAGCATAGGAGTAACAGTTAATTATTGAGGAGAAGGGACAGCTTTATGGAGGAGTGGGTAGACCTATTTTCATTGGTAGAGAATGAGAGAAGGGCTAAAGGAACAGAGTAGCACAGAAAAGGAAGCCGGAAGACTCATAGCATATTCAGAGTAGGCTGGACTGCTAAAGAATGACACGTACTGAGAAGTAATGAGAAATGAACTGGACAAGAAGGAAGTCCAGGCAAGTGCCAGTGGCTCATGCTCATAATCCTAACTACTCAGGAGGCAGGGGTCAGAAGGATTTTGGTTCAAGGCTCGCCTGAGCAAATAGTTTGTAAGACCCTATATCAAAAATATCTAATACAAAAAGGATTGGCGGAGTAGCTCGAGTGGTAAGCACCTGCCTAGCCAGCATGAGGCTGTGAATTCAAACTCCAGCACCACCAAAAAAAAGGAAGTCCAGAATCAGTGGCTGCCACTAATCTGTAAATTCCCCATATGACATTGCAGAAAGAGCAAGGACTTTAAAGCTAACAAAAGCTTAGTTTAGACTATGGCTCTGTCACTTGAACAGATTATTTGTAAGATAGGGATGGATACTACATACCGTGAAGGTTGTTAGAAAGATTGGGTTATTGGAAATTGCCAGCATAGACATTGGTATATGGAAGTCTTGACTAACTAGTAGCAGAGATGTCTCACCTTGGTTGATACCTCTCTTTCCCTGTGCCGTACTTCCTTGCATCTAGTAGGTATGAATATAGAAACTTGAAGCACTGCCACAAGGGGCATGCCTTATCTCCTCTGTATCAGGGGAAGGACAGTTCTGTCCTTCAGAGGTAGTTATATTTTTCAAATCGAAAATTCAATTTATCTGACTCAATAATATATAATTTAAAAGTTAAAACTCCCTTCTTTGCTTTTTACAGCCCATTTTTCTTCCTCCTGTTTAATTTCTTGTTTATCTTTTCAGTGCTATCTCATGCAAATATAAGTATACATTCTTCTTTTCCTCACTTTTTGCATAAAAGGTAGCTCACTACATATACTTTTGTGCATATCTTTCATTTGATATGCCTTAGAGATGTTTCCTAATGCTTTTTTTTTTTTTTTTTTTTGGCAGCACTGGGGTTTAAACTCAGGGCCTCATAATCGCTAGGCAGGTGCTCTTACTGCTTGAGCCACTCTGCCAGCCTTCTTAATGCATTTTTAAAAACCTTCCTTGCATTGGAAAGGTAATTATATTCCTGCTATCTTTGGGGTGTAGGCACTCCAGAAAACTTCTAGCCCCCTCTCTTTTTCCTTTTTAGTCAGGAGACACTGCTGGGCCTGGAAGCCAAGCAGTCAGAATCACTCAGTGAACTCATCACTCTTCGGGAAGCACTGGAATCAAGTCGCCTGGAAGGGGAGTTACTTAGGCAAGAGAAAGTGGAAGTGACTGCAGCACTGGCCAGGGTACGTATGCCTCCTCCTAACTTGCTGGGTGGGCAGCTTTGAAAGTTATGTTCACAGGTAAGGGATATGTACCTTGATTTTTCACCTTTCAGGCCATGGCCTCACATAATCCTTTCCTCAATTGCTTCTGGGTCCTGTCTCTCCTGACATGCCCTCTATATTAGATGAGTTTTCTAAAGTATAAATTTGGTTATGCAGTCTCTAAAATCATTCAATAGGCCTAGTGTGGTGGCTTACACCTATTATCCCAGTGACTTGGAAGGTGGAGATTGGGAGGATCATGGTTCAAGACCAGCCTAGGCAAAAAGTGTGGGAGATCCCCATGCTTGTTTGTTTTTGGTGAGACTGGGGCTTGAACTCAGGGCTTTGTGCTTGCAAAACAGACATTCTACCACTTGGGCCATGCCTCCAGCCCATTTTGCACTGGTTATTTTTGAAATGGTATCTTGTGAACTGTTTGCCTAGGCTGGCCTCAAACCATGCTCCGCTTGATCTCAGCCTCCCAAATAGCTAGAATTACAGGTATGAGCCACTAGTGCCCAGTGAGACTCCCATCTTAATAAGCTGTCATGGTGGACACACCTGTGAGCCCAGCTGTGTAGGAAGTGATAGGTAGAGGATTGCATTCTGAGGCTGGACCCCAGCAAAAATTTGAGAACCTGCCAGACACCAGTGGCTTATGCCTATAACGCTAGCTACTCAGGAGGCAGAGATCAGGAAGATTGCAGTCCAAAGTCAGCCGGCGAAATAGTTCTGAGAGATCCTATCTCAAAAATATGCATCACAAAAGGGGCTGGTGGAGTGGCTCAAGGTGAAGGCCCTGAGTTCAAGCCCCAGTACCACAAAAAAAAAAAAAAAAAAGCAGTATCTACTGTTAACAGAGCTGGTGCAGTCTGTAATCAGAACACTTTCAAATTTTTTGTATCCCACTGGAAAGACTCCATGACAGGACACTTGGGTGTAAAGAGAGTTTTTTAAAAGTTTGGAAAGGAAAATACAAAGGGGAGCGTAGCAGGGCCCAGGTGGAGTCTTCCAGGTGCTTTTTTTTTTTTTCGTCTTTTCTTTTTTGGTGCTGGGATCGAACCCAGGGCCTCACAAATGCTAGGCAAGCGCTGTACCACTGAGCTACATCCCAGCTCCTTCAGGTGCTTTTAAAATCTACCATAACCTATGGGAAGAAGAGAACCAGGTGATTCCCATCCAGTAATCAATGAGTGGGGCGGGGCATGGACGATTCCCAGCCAGGTGAGGGCTGTTCCTGGGCCAAAGCATGGTTAATCTAAGATGTAGTATTTTTCTATGAGTCCCGATCTTTCCCTAATTTAGCTTGCCTCACTACCTGAAAAATAACTAAAAAAGGGCTAGGACATGGCTCAAGTAGTAAGCACCTACCTAGCAAGCACAGAACTCTGAGTTCAAACCCCAATAGTGAGGGAAAAAAAAAAAAATTCAATGGCTGCCGAATTCTGGTGCAATATTCAAAACCCTTTGTCACCTGCCTCAAATTCTGTTTCTGGCCTCCCCTTCCTCTCCAAAACACAAAACTCTATTCTGATTCCTTGTATCCTTTGCTCCTGCCACACAGCATTATCTGTGTTTTTTGTTATGTCACATTCCTTCAGGACTACAATACTTCACATATGCTTTTCCCTTTATCTGGACTGCTTCTTTCTTCCTCTTTAACCAAAACTATCCCTCATCCCTCAATACCGAACTTAGTTGTCAACTCCTCTACCAAGCATTTTTGACTCTTCCAAACTGAATTAATGCCTTTTTTAAGTTCCCAGAACACTTTGTATTTCCATTTTCTATGGCATCATTGTAATTATAGTTGTTTATACATCCTTAGTCTGTGCTTCTATGCTGTGAGCTGGTCTGACTCCTCAAAGAATGAGTAAATGAATGCCAGGCGCTGTGGCTTACACTTGTAATCCTATCTACTCAGGAAGCAGAGATTAGGGGGACTGCAGTTCGAAACCAACCCCAGACAAATGGTTCAAGAGATCCTAGCTCGAAAAAACTCACCACAAAAAAGTGCTGGTGGAGTGGCCCAAGGTGCAGGCCTGAGTTCAAACCCCAGTACAGAAAAAAAAAAGAATGAATGAATCAAGGAAGGAAAACTTGTTTAGAATGTAAGGGAAGAAATGGAGTGTTAATTGATCTCTGTACAAATAAAGCAGCAGGTATTGGGAATGTGAACTACTTACTGTTTCAGGAAAACTGGAAACAGGAATATCTTTAACCCTCTTTGTTTTTAGGCAGAACAGTCTATTGCAGAGCTGTCAAGTTCTGAGAACAGCCTGAAAGCAGAGGTAGCTGATCTTCGGGCTGCAGCTGCCAAGCTCAGTGCTTTAAATGAGGTTTTGGCCTTAGATAAAGTTGGGCTGAACCGGCAGCTTCTCCAGGTGAGCAAAGATATGTCTGATCCCCAGAGTAGGGCTGGGCCCTGACCGAAGATAAGCTAGTGACAAACAAAACTGATGCCTATAATAGGGCAGAATCCTTAATGGATCAGGCCAAGGCATATCAGCTCCCAAACACAGTTCTGAAATAAGCAAAAGGATTAGATTTAACCACTGGAAAATTCCTCTCCCATACCTCCAGCAGAATCACCTTTGAGCTTTAAATCAGAACTGGGAAAGGGCCCATGTTTCCTGGAAGCAAGACTAGGTTTTTAATTCTGTTGAGTGAGATATTAGCAATCACCAGAAAAGAACCTGCTGAAGAGCCTAAGTCCCAAAAAATTTTCTGTAGGTTATAAATTTAACCTATAATTTTAGTGAGGGAACCTCCTTGTTACTCTCTGTTCTCTTGAGTTTAAGCCCCAGAGGTGTTCTATGCTCCATTATTCTGCATTCTTTGAGAGCAAGATTTTGCCTTTTTAAATCTCCATCTCCAGCATCCAGCCCATCTATTACATATAATATATGCACTAGATCAAATGTCTAGGTTTTTCCCACTTTTATAAGCACTCGTGTTCATCTTTGGAGGTCAAAAATGACCTTCATATCTCAAAATTAGCTCCGTATCTCATTTAGAGTTCAGTATCAGCATTTGGGACAGCTTAGGGAAACTGGAACTACTTGTGTTTGAAACCCTGGACCCCCACTTCCCTTTTTGGTCAGTAGTTGGAGCAAGACAACCAATCTGTGTGCAGTAGAATGGAGACAGCAGAGCAGGCAAGAAGTGCCTTGCAGGTGGACCTGGCAGAGGCAGAGAGGAGCAGGGAAACCCTATGGGAAAAGAAAACTCATCTGGAGACCCAGCTGCAGCAAGTGGAGGAGGCTGGGACTGAGCTGCAGGCAGAGCTCAGAGGCATCCAAGAAGAAAAGGAAGAACTTAAAAAGAAATTAAGAGAGGTGAGAAAACAGAACTGACACCATCACATGAAGGTATAATATATGCTTATTGTAAAAAATTAGAACACTACAGAAATGACTCAGAAAGTGAAAAAGTCACCAGGCACCAGTGGCTCACACCTGCAATCCTAGCTACTCAGGAGGCAGAGATCAAGAAGATTGTGGTTCGAAGCTAGCCCTGACAAATAGTTCGTGAAACCCTATCTTGAAAAAAGACCCTTCACAAAAAAAAAAAAAAGGTGGTGGGGGGAGGCTGATGGAGTGGCTCAAGGTATAAGCCCTGAGTTCAAGCCCTAGTACCACAAAAAAAAGTGAAAAAGTCTCACTTCCTAGATTTCCCACTACTTTCTACCCCTCAGTTTAAATTAGATGTTTCTCCTATATACTACGCTACACCTCATACCATTCCACCCTTCATACTGTTATCTGTTTGCATGTCCCTGAAGGCAAGGCTGTGTCTTACTTGTTTTATTCCTCTAACTCAGTGCTAAACACATAGCAGGACTCAGTAAATTTTTTCCTGAACCAATAAATGACCTCCCCTACCAAACCTCTAATTGCCCTAATAATTATATATGATCTCCTTTCTCAGAGTTCTTTCCTCAGAACACTGGTCACTGACTAGTATTTTATGTGTGTGTCTTACTTCTTAAAACTAAAAGCCCCATAGGTTCAGGTCTCCTACTGTCCCTAGCACAGGGTCTCCCTTATAGAAGAACCCTTCCTGGGCTAGGGGCTTTGAGGGTTTATTAGGGAAATAAATAAATGCTACTTATTACTAAGCGAACAATGCTTAGAGCTCACAGTGCTTGACCCTAAATCTCTGGAGCCAAGAGCTGCCTAGAGAGATTCTACCTCTTCTCTGTATCTCACCAATTTCTTCTTCTCAGGCACATCACCAAAAGGAGGCAGCAACAGCTCAGCTGGAGCAGCTGCATCAGGAGGCAAAGCGACAGGAGGAAGTGCTTGCCAGGACAGGCCAAGAGAAAGAGGCCCTAGTGCGGGAGAGGGCAGCTCTAGAAGTGCGGCTGCAGGCTGTGGAGCGGGACCGCCAGGACCTTTCTGAACAACTTATGGGGCTTAGGTAGGGCCCAAACGTAGTTCAGCCAGGCACACAAGCTTTGCAAGGCAAAGAGAAGCCACGCTAAGCTCCCTACCCTAAGTATATGAATTCTAAATGAGTTGTGAATTTATAATTGATTCCCCCAACTTCTTCAGGAAGCCAATTCTTAGACCCAACTCCTTAAGGAAGGTAGGAATCTTGATGGGTAAGGCTTCTTCCTGATGCCTGAATCTCACAGCTCAGCCAAGGAGCAACTGGAGAACAGTCTGTTTGAGGCCCAACAACAAAATTCTGTGATAGAGGTCACCAAGGGGCAGCTGGAGGTCCAGATTCAGACTATCACTCAAGCCAAGGAAGTAATCCAAGGTGAGAACCCAACTGGAATGGGGCATAATCCATTCCATGGGTATGTTGGAAACCAGGAAGGCAGTGGGAACCCTTCTACAACCAGTCTTAGGGCCTTCTAGATGAAAGTTGCTCATGAAGTTTAGGAAGTGGAGTGGGAGAATATTATTAGGTAAAAGAAGTGGGGCAGAGGCCAAGAAGTGTTTCTGCCTGGCATTCTAGGGGAAGTGAGGTGTCTGAAGCTGGAACTGGATTCTGAAAGGAGCCGGGCAGAGCAGGAGCAAGATACGGCAGCCAGACAGCTGGCCCGGGCTGAGCAAGAGGGGCAAACCGCCCTGGAGCAGCAAAAGGTGGCCCATGAGGAGGAGGTGAACCAACTCCTAGAGAAATGGGTAGGTGGTGGACATGGCTGGGGAGTGGGAGAAGCAGACTTGGCCTCCCGTCAGTGAGTGTGCCAGCTACTGACTCTTGATACACTTACTGCTGCTTAGAAGTGTGCAATTTAGTCACCAAAGTGTGACATCCAGTTTTCACCTATTAGATCAGTTAATACATGAAAAACACTAAGAATAGTTCCTGGTGATGTGTAGCCATTATTATTGGCTTTTGTTTTATTTTTCAGTATGTATAGAAAATTTAAAATGGACCCTGTGATGAATGATTTATTAATCTTTTTTTTTTTTTTGGGGGGGCAGCACTTGGGTTTAAACTCAGGGCTTCACACTTGCTAGGTAGGCGCTCTACCACTTGAGCCATTGCACCAGCTGATTGATTATTAAACTGACCCCAGGATATAAGTGGAGCAGAGGAAGGTCTTGAGTGCGTTCTTGCCCAATTAAGAACTGTGTTTCCTTTCTTTCCTTCCTCCCACCCTCCCTCCCTCTGGGGTTTTGAACTCAGGGTCTCATACTTGCTAGGTAAGCACTTTACCACTTGAGCCATTCTGCCAGCCCTATTTTGTTTTAATTATCTAATTCAGTTTGTTGTCATTGTGATTTTATGTGTGCTTTGGATTCATTTCTATCATGTCCTGCCTTTTCATATCTTTCAAGGAAGGATCACCTTTCTTCTTTTAGAAAATTAAATTGGATGATTAAGTTGTATTCTTTTTCCCCTCTTTTTTTCTTTCTACAACTTTGTGTTGTAACATATTGTGTTAATTAAATTTTTTTAGTGGTTACCTTTAATATTTTAAAATACATAAATAATAACATAAAATTAATAATTGTTTTCACTATTTTCCTGAATGACCCAAGAGCCTTAGAATAATTTACTTACTTTCACTCCTCCCTGGCTTATATGCTGTTTTGTTTAATATGTTCAGTTCTAACTAGTTTAATATCACAAATTAAACATCTTTATTTGTTTATATCATCATTTATTTTAGCTGGTGGCATGTAGCACGCCTGTCTACCAAGCATAAGGTCCTGAGTTCAAACCCCAGTACTACTGAGAGAGAGAGAGAGAGAACATTTTTATCATATTCCATATAGCAATTGGCGGCAGACCAGATCTGGCCAAATTTTATTGATGCCTGTTACAACTTTTTGGAGGTTCAGATTTATATGGGAATCTCCTAAATCCCCACCCTTTGCCTCCTGTTGTCTTTCCCCCAAATAATCATAAATTGAATTTCAAGGGGACAGGTTAAGCAAATGTCTCCAGTGGAAAGTCAGTTCTGTGCTTATTTACCTCTTTACATCAAAGACTTGAGATTTTTCATTGTTTTCCTGTTGGCTCAGTGATATGTTAAAATATGTACTTACTATTGTATTGTACTTTTTGCCACTTAGTAGCTGGAGATTTCAGATATATTTGTCAGATATCTGGAAATAAACTTTGACTTGTGTTTTATGCTTATTTGTGGTTTAATTATTATTGTAAAGAAGACTTGGTGGCAAGATGGTAGCCATTTGCTTGTTTCTAGAAGTATGTGCATAGACTATAGTAGGTGCTTGATAATATTTGTTGAATGAATACTGTCTAGAACTTAGTTCCCTAGCAAGAATCAGGCATACCACCTACTGAAAACCCCACAGATAAATGTAAACCTTCGGAATGATGAATTTGCTAGCCTTGATTTTCCTGAAAGGATTGACTGCCATAGCCATATCTGAGTCATGAACAGACCTCTTTCCTCTTGTCATGTTGGAAAGGGCTGAACCACTAGAGGCATTCCTGTTAAATGAATAGATGACTGCAAACTTACCACCATTTCAAAGGAAAGGTACAGGGAACCACTGATGTGGTGATGCTGCCTCATATGCTGACTGCTTGCTGTGTGCTAAGCACCATTTAAAGAGATTTCATGACTTATCTCAATCCTCAAAGCAATCCTAGGAGGACTTTTGGTATTTCCCAAGATAAGGAAACTGAGGTACAGAGAAGTTGAGAAATTGAGATGATACTCTAGTAGTTGTAGTAAATTAAAGACTGTCACCCAGGCAACCTGACTTCAGAATCTTTCACCACTATCCCGAGAATCTAACAGAGGACCTGGACTAATTGGGTTGATGAGGAAAGGCTTTGGTCATTAATGGATCTGTGAGAGAACCAGGATCCTCATCTTAAATCTCTTATGTAATGTAGGGAAACATCTGCACTGGACCAGGTTGTTTTGGGTTTTTTTTTTTCCCCCCTTCTGGACTGGGGGATGCTAACTTCGCATCCTAAGCAGAGGAGAGGGAGCAACAAGGAGACTGAGTTGACACCTCAGTTCATTGTTAGAGCTGTCAATTATGAGGTGGATGGCTTTGAAAATGACATTTGTAGCTTATATAAGGACTTTAGAAAGCACATTACTATATTGTATCTTTTTTGTGTGTGTGTAGTATCAGGGTTTGAATTCAGGGCTTTGTGCTAGCTAGAGAGTGTTCTACCGCTTGAGTCATGCCCCCAGCCCTTGAAATATGCATACATACATGTATATATATATAAGTCTCATTTGACTCATAAAATTTGATTCATAAGGCAGGATTATTAAACCTCACTTTATAGATAAGTAAACAGGCTTAGAGGGATGCCCAAGTCACACAGAGAGGAGTAGTAAAAAGATTCTTATTCCAAACCTGTTCTCCTGCTTCCTCTCCTTACCTGTTGGTTTCTAACAGCATCATTTTCTTCACATGGCCAGGAGAAAGAGCGTTCTCTCCACCAGCAGGAGCTGACAAAGGTCCTAGAGCGCCTAGAGAGGGAAAGAATGGAGCTGGAAATGAGGCTGAAGGAACAGCAAATAGAAACCGAGGCCATCCAGGCACAGAGGGAAGAGGAACGGACCCAGGCTGACAGCACCCTCTGCCAGGTGGGAAGCTAGGAGGATTGAAGCTGGGCTCCTTCTGTGATCCCCTGACCTTTGGCCACTTCCTTTGCTATTGCTAAGAGTGGGCTAAGAGGGGCTTCCAGAAGAGAGCAGGGCTACCTACTTTGCCACCAGTGAGTGGGGTGATTTTCGCAGTTAGCTGCAAGGCAGGCAGTATGTCATACTTCCTGAGGGAGGGCTAACATCTACCACATCCTGTCTGCTTGCAAACCAGTGAGAACCTTTGTATTTCCTGGTTGTGAGTCAGTAGGCTCAGACCTTCCTTTTCCCTCAGCCTGAACCCTATTTGTTGGAAGAGCCCTAGAGCAGCTGTACTGCTGGGTGAGCATGATAACCCTGAGCTCTTCCTGTCCCTCCACAGATGCAACTGGAAACGGAGAAGGAGAGAGTATCCCTCTTGGAGACACTGCTGCAGACTCAGAAGGAGCTGGCAGATGCCAGCCAACAGCTGGAACGGCTGAGGCAGGACATGAAGGTTCAGAAGTTAAAGGAGCAGGTATGGAGGATGGTCCTGGGTGTTCATTCACCCACTCAACAACTAATAGTCCTTTTTTTTTTTTTCTTTTTTTGGTGGTACTGGGGTTTCAGGGTCTCATGCTTGCTAGGCAGGCATTCTACACTAGCCCTTATGTGTTAAGTATTTTCAATATAGGGTCTCCAGAACTATTTGTGTGGGCTGGCTTCAAACTGCCATCCTCCTGATCTCTGCCTCCTGAGTAGCTAGCATTACAGGTGTGAGCCACCAGCACCTGGCTATGAATAGTTCTTTGGTACTTCTTGTGCATCAGGACCTGTGCTAGGTGCTGATATATGACAGGTACATAAGGGTATGGCCAAACAGACAACAGGGTAGACATGGTCCTTGTCCTCAAAGAACTTAAATTCTGGTGGCAGAGACAGACAAAAAATGAACAGACACAAGATAAATGAGGTAGTTACAGATTGTAATAAGTGCCATCAAGGAAATAAATAAGATAATGTAATTGAGAGTGATTCAAGGGAAGTCACTTTATACAAGGGTCAGGGAGGGCCTCAATGAGGAAGTGACATTTGAGCTGAAACTTAAAGTTTTAAAAGAAGCCAATCCCACATACAATATAGATGAACTTTGAAAACGTTATGCTAAGTGAAAGAAACCAGACATAAAGAGGCTGTATATTATCTTCCATTTATATGGAATATCGAGAATAGGCAAACCTATAGACAGAAAGTAGATTAGTGGGTGGAGAGTGAGGCAGAGAATGAGGAATGTCTACTAATGGGGTGCTTCTGGGGTGATGAAAATGTTCTAAAACTCATCTTGGTGATAGTTGCAGAACTGTGAATATACTAAAAACCACTAAATTATATACTTAGTAAATTGTATGGTAGGTAAATTACAACTCAGTGTAGCCTTGAAAAAAAAAAAAAGAAAAGAGCCAAGCATGATCAAGGCCAGCCTAGGCAACTTGGTGAGATCCTGTCTCAAAATTTAAAAAAGGGGGAATGGGGCTTGGATTTAGCTCAATGTTAGAGCACTTAACTTGCGTAGCATGCTTGAGTCCTTGAGCTCAATTCCTAGTAACACACATGCACACACATACATGCATGCCAAAAAAAAAAAAAGGAAAGGAAAGAAGCCAACCATTTGAACTTCTTGAAGCAGAGGATTTAGCTGTTATAAGGGCCCCAGAACAGATAAGTAAAGGCTCAGGAAGTTCCAGAGTATGACTACAGAGTGATGAGCTTAGGGACAAGTGGAGAGGAGTCCTTCCTCAGCCATAGTAGGAGCTTGGGTTTATTCTAAGGGCAGTGGGAAAGTGGAGGATGATACTTTAAAAGCAGAGGTGGGCAGGACTTACATGTCAATATATAAAAAATAAAAATTTAAATGTATATAAAAAAAAGTATGTATTTTATATGTATTTTAAAATACTTTATATTTATATATATGTATATATGAATGTGATTTTATACACGCACACACTTTTTCTTTTTGTGGTGCTGAGAATCAAACCCAGAGACTTGTACAATCTAGGCAAACGCTCAACCGAGCTACATTGCTATCCTTGGATATATATTTAATAAAGTACTTTAATTGCTAAGTGGAGAATGTGTGTCTGTGTAAGTAGAGGCCATGCCATCAAATGGAAGTAAGGATATAGTCAGGAGGCTGTTGCAATGGTCTGGATGAGGGACTATTATTAACTCACGGACCCCCTGACCAAAAAGCCTGGATGAGTTCATGCACTTTTTGAGAAAGGCAAGGGAACAGGAAGTGAGGAGTTGAGATAGAAACAAAGTGGTTCCTGCCTCAATTTTTGCCAACCAAACAGAAGAAACAGTATTTGTACAATGCAGAGGACTTTAAGACCTAGCCCCAGTAGAAGTTTTCCCACACTCACTGCTTCTTCTTCCTTTGCAGCAAACCACTGAAATGCTGCAGACCCAGCTCCGGGAGGCTCAGCAGGAGCTGAAGGAGGCAGTACAGCAGCACAAAGATGATCTTGCTGCCCTCCAAGAAGAGGGTAGCACTTTGCTGCAGGACAAGATAGACCTACAAAAGGAGGTCTCTACTGCCCACCCTGCCCCATAACCCTTCCCTGCACAGCCAGGGCCTCCCACTCCTCTCTTCAGGACAGGGAGAACCTGGGCCCTACTGCCTGAGCTCAGGAAGACAGGGATAGGTGATGGTACTGAATGGAAAATTGAAGGATGCTCAGAACTGAGCAGGTGCTATTCAGTTGGAATAGTACAGTTGGCCCTCTGAATCTGCATGTTCCACATCAACAGATTCAACCAACAGTCAACTGAAAATATTTGGGGAAAAAATGCAAAGACTTCTTATTCTTATTATTCTCTAAACAATAGCATAAACATGGCATTCACATTGTATTAGGTATAACAAGTAATCTGGAGATGATTTAAAATTTATCAGAGGCTGTGCATAGGTCATGTGCAAATACTATGCAATTTATAAAGGAACGTGAGCATCTGCAGATTTTGGTATCCAAGGGAGATTGTTTCCAGGCGACCCAGGCACCACTGTAATCTCTTTGTCTAGAGTGATCATAGAGCTTAGATTTTCTCAGGCATGCCCAGGTTCTATTATTATTCTTATTCTCACCCTAAATCCAGTGTTTTTGTTTTGTTCTTGATGTTCTTTTTTTTTTTTTTTGAGACAAAAGTCTCACTCTGTAGCCCAGTCTGGCCTCACACTCATGATTCTCAGGTATGCTAGCACACACCTGTAATCCTAGCTACTTGGGAGGCAGTGGCAGGAAGATTGAGAGTTCAAGGCCAACAAAGTTAGTAAGACCTTATATCAAAAACAAAGACAAAAGGGCTAGGGGAATAACTCATGTGGTAGTACACTCACTACTACACCTGGCTAAGTTCAATGTTTTATATACCAGGTTGCTTTTCCTACTCAGACTGCTTTTCCTTCAAATTATCTTATATTAGATGTTCTGATTTTTTTATTTAAAAAATACAATCACTATACATTTACCCTTCACTTTGCTTTTGGATATAGTTCTATTCAGTTGAGTTTTATTTGTGCCTGCCTTTATGCAGCATTTGTGAGGCTGGGAAGACAGATTTCCTAGCTGAATGATACTGGGGAAGTGGGCAGTTAAGAACAGTGTAAGAATTGGTGGAACTTCCAGGGTTCTAAAGAGGGGCCACTGACTGTGTTACACCCTGCAAGACCCTAAAGCCCTAGGCTAGAAGCATTCTACTGGCCCCCTGCCCTGCCATATGATTTTTATGCCCTTAACCTTCCAGGTAGAAGACTTGAAGTCTCAGCTGGTGGCCCAGGATGACTCTTACAGGCTGGTGGAGCAAGAGGTTCAAGAGAAGCTGAAAGAAGCGCAGGAATATAGTCGAATTCAGAAGGAACTAGAAAGAGAGAAAGCCAAGTAGGTTAAACAGCCATGGAGGCAGCTTTTGCCTTTCTGGCTATAATGGTTACTGTGGCATTGACAGTTCTTTGCTCATGTGACTTCACCTTTCATGTCTAGGTCTGGTGTGTACATGTAGCTATGTGGAGAGGACGTGGTCCCTGTCTTCAAAGCTTAGACTCCATTCATTTAGTAATATTTAGAGAACACCCATTATGTACCAAGCACTATGCCAGAGTTAGAGATACAGTGATAAACTAGATAGCGTGCAGTCCCTGAGTCAATAGAACTTGTAGTTTTTATGGGAAAGATTTTAATTAAATAATTCTCCAAACAAATTATTACAGATTATGAGACATGGTGTGAGGAAAGAAACAGGGTACTGAAATGGAAGTGAGAGAGAGGAGACCTGCTTTAGAAAGGTGTTTGGGACTTTCTCAAAAGAAGAAATTCAAATGGCCAGAAAACACATGAAAAAATGCTCACCATCTCTAGCAATAAAGGAAATGCAAATTAAAACCACGCTAAGATTCCACCTCACCCCTGTTAGAATAGCCATCATCAGCAACACCACCAACAACAGGTGTTGGTGAGGATGCGGGGAAAAAGGAACCCTCTTACACTGTTGGTGGGAATGTAGACTAGTACAACCACTCTGGAAAAAAATTTGGAGGCTACTTAAAAAGCTAGACATGGATCTACCATTTGATCCAGTAATACCACTCTTGGGGATATACCCAAAAGACTGTGACACAGGTTACTCCAGAGGCACCTGCACACCCATGTTTATTGTGGCACTATTCACAATAGCCAAGTTATGGAAACAGCCAAGATGCCCCACTACTGACGAATGGATTAAGAAAATGTGGTATCTATACACAATGGAATTCTATGCAGCCATGAAGAAGAACGAAATGTTATCATTCGCTGGTAAATGGATGGAATTGGAGAACATCATTCTGAGTGAGGTTAGCCTGGCCCAAAAGACCAAAAATCGTATGTTCTCCCTCATATGTGGACATTAGATCAAGGGCAAACACAACAAGGGGATTGGACTATGAGCACATGATAAAAGCAAGAGCACACAAGTAAGGGGTGAGGATAGGTAAGACACCTAAAAAACTAGCTAGCATTTGTTGCCCTTAACGCAGAGAAACTAAAGCAGATACCTTAAAGCAACTGAGGCCAATAGGAAAAGGGGAACAGGTACTAGAGAAAAGGTGAGATCAAAAAGAATTAACCTAGAAGGTAACACACACGCACAGGAAATTAATGTGAGTCAACTCCCTGTATAGCTATCCTTATCTCAACCAGCAAAAACCCTTGTTCCTTCCTATTATTGCTTATACTCTCTCTACAACAAAATTAGAAATAAGGGCAAAATAGTTTCTGCTGGGTATTGGGGGGGGAGGGGGAGGGGGCGGAGTGGGTGGTAAGGGAGGGGGTGGGGGCAGGGGGGAGAAATGAACCAAGCCTTGTATGCACATATGAATAATAAAAGAAAAATTAAAAAAAAAAAAAAAAGAAAGAAAGGTGTTTGGGAAGGCCTTTCTCAGGAGGATGCATTTAAACCAGCACTGAAGGATGTAATGGAGCCACCCACACAAAGGAGTGAAGGAAAGCTCCAAACAGTTGGAATAGAAGTCATGCTCAGAGGCTCTAAGGTTACAGACTCATCAAACACTGAGCTTACCGTGTTTGGTGAAACTCAGAATGTGCTGTAACCGGAACATGTGAGTGAAGAGAGCTGGACAAGTCCTTCTCATTCAGGATGTTGTAGGCCATGGCAAGGAGTTTGTAGATTATTTTTGTTTAGTAGGAAACCACTGGGAAATTGACACAATCCACTTTATAACATACAGAAGGAATTGTAATGGTATGAAACACTAGGAACAACATGAGAGCATTCAGAACGGAAAGCAGCATGCGTTCTCAGTGCTGCAAGAGCTTGAGGAGGGACAGATCCTTTTGGTGGTGACACTAGAGGCAGAAAGACAAGCTAGGAGGCTTGTACAGGTGTCCAGATAAGAGATACTAAGGCTACTACCAGGGTAGTTGTGTATATGTATGGGGGAAAGACTGAAAGAGATTTAAGAGATGTTAAGGGAGTTAGACTCAATTACATAAAGTGATGGATTGGATGTGGGCAGATGAAGGGGCAACTCTGAAGTGGTCAGTGTTTCTATGTTGTAACATTGGATGAAGGTACATTTCTGTGAGGTAAGGAACACAATAGGAAATGCGGAGTTGAAGTACGTAAAGGATGGGAAGATTAGGCATACTGAATTTGAAGAATGTGTATAGATACATTTGGAATTTAGCAGAGAAGAATAAACTGAAGTTAAGATGAGCATCATATGAATTACCTAGGAGCACACAGTAGGTGCTCAATAAATGGTAGCTTTTATTGTGATGCTGTAATTATCATTACTATTTCTATTTTTAATTATTAATGCTATGATTAGAATAGTCAGATGAGAAGTAGTTCATTACTCCCTGAAAGAATGACCTAGTCATTTGTTTCTTTTTAGCCTAACTCTGTCACTGGTAGAAAAGGAACAGAGACTCATTGTTTTACAAGAAGCTGACTGTGTTCAACAGCAAGAGCTGAACTCCTTGCGCCAAGATATGCAGAAGGCCCAGGAAGGGCAGAAAGAGCTCAGCGCCCAGGTACTTCCTTCTGTGGCTATGGTCCATGCTTCTTGATGGAGGCCTGCTTCTGCAGTAATAGTAGGGTGACTGCTCTCAGTCCTTTCATGGAGAGGACACTTCTCTTTTTCCTTTTCCTTTTTTTTTTTTTTTTTTGCAGTACTGGGGTTTGAACTCAGGGCTTCATGCTTGCTACGTATGCTTACTCTACCACTTGAGCCACTCCGTCAGCCTCTTTTTCCTAGTAACAAAATAGGCTGGGACCCCAACAGCCCTAGGAGGAGGAGAAAGTCAGGACTGGGCAGGGTCAGGGCTTGGGAACCTGATTTAGAGATGAGAATGGCCCTTATGGAGAATCTGATAGCCTGGTTGGCAAGGCATAGCAGGGGAAATTGAAGAGTAAGAAATACTCCACATGAGGTAGGCAGCAGCAAGGTGACTTCTGATGACTTAGTTTTCTCATAGTAGGATTCTTGGCCTGGGTCCAGAGGAGAGATGGAACCAGGAGAGACAGAGTAGGAGAGTAAGAGCTAGACAGTGATAAGACATAGGTCTCCCTGATAGACAGCCCTGAGTTTGACTTCTGGTTGTCAGGGTTTCATGGCAGAGTTCCAGTCATAGCAGGGAACTGGCATATCTGTCTGCCTGGGCAAACATAGCAAGAGTCCATTAGTGTAGCCTGGTCCTGTGTGTCAGGAGCTGGTTGCCTCCAAGTGTCAGATCTAGAGTACCACTCAACTCAGAGCCCTCCCTGCCTGTTGGGGATCTAAATCTGCTGAAACCTTTCCTGCCATGGTGAAGCTTTGCACAGAAGTTGGGTGGACTGAGGCCTGGGAAGGTATCCACTCCCTGTTCAGAATGAGCCTAATTCCTCCCTGGCAGGTGGAATTGCTGAGGCAGGAGGTGAAGGAAAAAGAAGCTGACTTTATGGCCCAGGAAGCACAGCTGCTGGAGGAGCTGGAAGCCTCTCGGATCACAGAACAGCAACTTCGAGCTTCCTTGTGGGCCCAGGAGGCCAAAGCAGCCCAAATGCAGCTGCGCCTGCGAAACACTGAGAGCCAGCTGGAGGCTCTGGTCACTGAGCAGCAGCCCGGGAACCAGGCCCAGGCCCAGTTGGCCAGCCTTTACTCTGTCCTGCAGCAGGCCTTTGGGTTTGTGTGTGAGAACAGGCCTGAGCTGAGGGGTGGGGGAGACTCTGCTCACTCCCTCTGGGACCCTGAGCCAGGTGAGGCTACCAACCAAGAACTAAGTCTTTTGTACCAAAGCCAGGCTTAGCTCCCAAGGGAGAAGGGAGGGGAATACAGTTCCTCAGGCAATATTGTGTCAAGGTTAAGGCCACAGGCTCTGGGATTAATTCTGGGTGAGTTTGAACCCCATTTCTGCTCTGCCATTTGCTAGCTATATGACAGTGGGCAAGTCACCTAACTTCTTTGAGCTTGACTTTCCTCAACCTAAATGAGGGTTATTAAAATGAGGGTTATTAGATTTTTTCCAAGGAGTTACTGAGATTACAAATGTAAGTAGCTCACTAGTTCCTGGCACATAAATGCATAACAAATAGTAGCTAGCATTATCTAGTGCCTACCACAGTGCCTGGGATATAAAAAACCAGAAAGTATGTGAACTTCTAAAAGGGGGAGGACCAAGGTCTTGTCAGGAGGAGGGATGGCTATTTCTTTACATAGTGGCAGCCAGGTGATGAGGTTTTCCTTCATTTCTTCAGACCAGAATGGAGCTAGGAGCCTTTTTAAGAGAGGGCCCCTCTTGACTGCTGTCTCAGTTGAGGCCATAGCATCTGCCCTCCACAAGCTTCACCAAGACCTGTGGAAGACTCAGCAGGCCTGTGTATGTTCTCTGCTCTCCTTTCTTTAGCTCCACCTCCTTTGAAAAGGTTAAGACAAAGACTAGTAAAATGTGGCAGTTTGACCTGTTTTATTTCAGAGATCAAGCTGGGATAAGTTCCACCTCTATTATTAACTGTGTAGCAACTGGAACTAAGCAGCTGAATATCCTGGGCCCTGGTTTTCACTTGCAAAGTAGGGCAGATAATGCCTGCCCCCAGGGTTGTTGTGAGGATTAAGTGAGTGGGAGTCTTGAAGGAGCCCTATAAACAATAAAACCCTGAACACGTGGGTGGTTTTGTTTTGCATCATTTTCTTCTCAGGTAGGAATATATTCTTGGTGCCCAGGCATCTAAGAGGAAACTGGCAAGTTGGGGACCACTGAGATTTGAGGTTGCTGCTTTCTAAGCTTAGTGCTGAACTAAAGGTTCCACAAATTCCACCTCACTGTGAACCTAACATATAATACAAATTGAGTGCCATCTATATGCAGCCACTCTGAGCTGTGATACAAAGAGAAAGACCTAATTTCTATCCTCAAGAAGGCTTCTGACATGGTGGGAGACCAAATTGCATCGTGATAAAACAGAACTGACAGAATTAGCTCAGTAACAGATACAAATGATGCACTATTGGAACTAGGAGATAGGGACAGTCCATACGGGCTCAGAGGGGCAGAAGAAAAAGGTGACTTTGGGCTAACCTTTGAATAGACATTTGTGTAGAAAGAGTTATGCCCTGGAATAGGACCTTGAGCAGTTTTTTTTTTCAAAAGACATAGATTAATGGGGCTTCTTAGTTCCTGTCAATTGGAACAGAGCCCACCCTCACTTCAGGGAGCTAAATGCATATGAGTTCAGAGGTAATTCAGTAACCTGAGAGGCTAGGAGTGAGGAGGGAGCTTGAGCCCTGGCTAGGATAACTTTGTGCCAATGAGGAGCTTGAGTTCAGCCCTACCTTTCTCAGGATGATCTGAGGAACCAGGCCCAGAAGCTGACACAGTGTCTAACTGATGTGGAGGCTGAGAAGAACCAGGTCCAGTCAGAGTTGCAGGACCTGCAGAGACAACTCTCCCAGAGCCAGGAAGGTAAGCTGTGTAGGTGGGAAGGTTTGGAGGAGAAAAGAAACAGGTGGGAACCAGAAATGTTAGGAACAGACCCACAAATGTGAAATGATGTCTTATGTATCTGCAAAGGACTGATGACTCCCTTGAACTATTTTTCTGCTTTGCTTGGCCTTTGCAGGCCATCCTGAATGAAGGGATTAGGAAGAACAGATTTGGTAAACTGAGAAGGAGCTGGCTGGGCTTCTGTTTTGTGTCTCTAAAGAAGACCAAAAAAAAAAAAAGGAGGGGGAGTTGGATGCATGGCTCAAATGGTAAAGTGCTTGCCTAGCAAGCGCAAGGTCCTAAGTTCAAACTCTAGTACCACAACAGTTGGGGGGAGGGTTGTTCAGCCTGGGCTACATAGTGAGTTTATGACCAACTTGAGACCCTGTCTCAAAAAGCTAAAACAAACAAAAAAACTATAGAAACCTAGGGCCAGGACTCTGAGACCATGTTACTAATTTTTTATCATTTCTATCTATGCCCTTAAAATAGGCTTTGATGGCAGGAGGATCATGGGCTTGTTTGGGAGAAAGCAATGAGGGAGAACATACTGACACCACAGCCAAAGGCTAGGAACGCTGCTGACCACTTGGAAAGAAGAGGGAAGGGTCTTGAGAGGATTTCTTAGGGGGAGGCTCTGGGCCCTTTTAAGGTCATTCAAGGGCTCCTGGAGATCCCCACAAAAAGAACTACATTCCAGGGTATGTTGCAGAAATGAGTGGCAGCCAGAGAGCTACCAGGTCTCTTGGAACCTCTGAAAAAACCACATAATTTGAGGCTGGAAGTAACAAGTACTATGAGCTAGCTCAACCTTGTCTGGAGTCCATGGTTGAGGATTTTTGTGTTCAAGATGAGGAATTACCAGCAATGCTAGGAGTGACAACAGATCCAGATGCATATCTGTAAGCAGCAGGGAGCCTAAACAATAGGAGCAGCTGGCAGATGGGTGATGTCTTAGGATACTGAATGTAATTCTCTCTTTCTTGGCCTTCTACCCCTTTGATTCTGTACTCCATCCTCCATCTGCCTCTACACCCCTGTGTTCTCCCAACCCTGACCACGGGCCTGACTCCATTACCTTTGTCTTCTCAAAGAGAAATCCAAGTGGGAAGGAAAACAGAACTCCCTGGAATCTGAGCTGAGGAACCTGCATGAGACTGTGGTGTCCTTACAAAGTCGCCTACGGCAGGCAGAACTGCAGAGAATGGAAGCCCAGGTGATGTGTAGTTTGGGGAGGGGTGCCTCAGGAATAGTACCTTAAAGCCCAAGGCTCTGGCTCCTAGGCCTGCCTTGGCCTGTGGCCATGTGATCCCAGCTTCCTTCAGCAAGTCTTTCAGTTCCTCTGGCTGTCCCCATGTTCCTGAAGGCCACTATTAAGGTCATAGTGAATCTTTCTCGAATTACTTTTTCTGAATTGCGGTTGAGAGTTTTGCCCCTTGCCCTGAAAGACCAGAGTCTGGGATAACTCATTCACACTAGACTGTCTTCCCTGAGAATAGTAGATTCCTGCCTCGGAGGTGTCAGGGCTGCTCTTTTACAGGATCAACTTAAGTGGAATGCAGTACTTATTTTGTCCAAGTCCTTATCACTGCTATTGCCACAAAACAAGAAAAAGAAAGCTGGTGTTGGAGTGGATTAACCCAGTCTAAGGTGGTTTTGCCTCTTGTTTTCCAGAGTGAACGAGAGTTACTTCAGGCAGCCAAGGAGGACCTAATGGCTCAGGTAGAACACCTGCAAGCATGTGTTACAGAAGCGAGGGCCCAGGCAAGTGCTGCTGGGGTTCTAGAAGAAGATCTGCGAACAGCACGCTCAGCACTAAAACTGAAAAATGAGGAGGTGGAAAGTGAGCGGGAGAGAGCCCAGGCTCTGCAAGAGCAGGGTGAGCTGAAGGTGGCCCAGGGGAAGGCTTTGCAGGAAAATCTGGCTCTGCTGGCCCAGACCCTGTCTGAAAGAGAGGGGGAAGTAGAGACTTTGCAGGGAGAAATCCAGGAACTAGAGAAGCAGCGGGAAATGCAGAAGGCTGCTCTGGAACTGCTGTCTTTGGACCTGAAGAAGAGGAACCAAGAAGTTGATCTGCAACAAGAACAGATTCAGGAGCTAGAGAAGTGTAGGTCTGTCTTAGAGCACCTGCCCATGGCTGTCCAGGAGCGAGAGCAGAAGCTGACTGTGCAACGAGAACAGATCAAAGAGCTTGAGAAAGATCGGGAGACTCAAAGGAATGTCTTGGAGCATCAGCTTCTGGAACTGGAGAAGAAGGCCCAAGTAATTGAGTCCCAGAGAGCACAGATTCAGGATTTGAAAAAGCAATTGGTGACTCTGGAATGCCTAACCCTGGAGCTGGAGGAAAGCCATCACAAGGTGGAGGACCAGCAGAAGGTGATCGAGGAGCTGGAGGGCCAGAGAGAAATGCAAAGGGTGGCTCTGACTCACCTCACACTGGATCTGGAAGAAAGGAGCCAGGAGGTACAGGTGCAAAGCAGCCAGCTCCATGAGTTGGAGAGCCACAGCACTGTTTTGTCAAGAGAGCTGCAGGAGAGGGAGCAGGAGGTGAAGTCCCAGCGCCAGCAGATTGAGGAGCTACAGAGGCAGAAAGAGCATCTGACTCAGAACCTGGAGCAGAAGGGCCAGGAACTGATGCTCCAGAAAGAGAGGATTCAGGGTCTGGAAGACCAAAGGACTCTGCAGACCAAGATCTTAGAAGAGGACCTGGAGCAAATCAAGCTGTCCTTGAGAGAGCATGGCCGGGATCTGGCCTCTCAAAGGCCATTGATGCAGGAGCAGACAGAGGAAGGGAAGAGTCCTAGAAAAGCACAGAGAGGAAATCTAGAACACATGAAGCTGATCCTGCGTGATAAGGAGAAGGAAGTAGAATGCCAGCAGGAATGCATCCAGGAACTTCAGGAGCACAAGGACCAGCTGGAGCAGCAGCTCCAGGGTTTGCACAGGAAGGTGGGTGAGACCAACCTGCTCCTGACCCAGCGAGAGCAGGAAATAGTGATCCTGCAGCAGCACCTGCAGGAAGCCAAGGAACAAGGAGAGCTGAAAGAGCAGTTACTTCAGGGTCAGCTGGAAGAGGCCCAGAGAGCCCTGGCCCAAAGGGACCAGGAACTTGAGGCCTTGGAGCAAGAACAGCAACAAGCTCAGATTCAGAAGGAGAGCATGAAGGAAAAGGTAACCACACTCCAGTCAGCTCTGGAGCAGGCCCATGTGACACTGAAAGAGCACCACCGAGAGCTTGAGGAGCACAAGGAGCTGGTACGAAGTCTCCAGGAAGAGCTGGAAGTGGAGGGACGGCAGGTGCAGGCCCTGGAGGAGGTGTTGGGAGACCTGAGGGCTGAGTTTCGGGAGCAGGAGAAGACTCTGCTGGCCCTTGAGCAGCAGTGTGCTGAGCAGGCACAGGAGCATGAAGCAGAAGTCAGGACCCTGCAGGAAAGCTGGCTGCAGGCAGATGCCATGCTCAAGGAACGGGACCAGGAGTTGGAGGCTCTGCGGGCAGAAAGCCAGTCCTCTCAGCATCAGGAGGAGGCTGCATGGAGTCAGGCAGAGGTTCTGCAGGAGGCCCTCAGCAAGGTCCAGGCTGCCCTGCAGGAGAAAGAGCAAAGTCTCCTTGAGCAGATTGAATTGAGCCACAGTCTGGAGGCCAGTACTAACACCCTTCGAGCCACCCTGGATGCCTGCCAGGCACATGCCCGGCAGCTGGAGGAAGCCCTGAGGATGCGTGAAAGTGATATCCAGGACCAGTATCTCCAACACCAGGAGGACATGCAGCAGCTCCATCAGGCACTTGCCCAGAAGGATGAAGAACTGAGGCAGCAAAAGGAACAGGGGCAACTGCTGGAGAAGTCTCTGGCTCAGAGGAGCCAAGAGAATGCTATCCAACAGAAGCAGAGTCAGGGACAAGAGAGAAAAGAGACCAGAAGCCTTTGTGAGAGTCTAAAGGAATTACAGATGACACTATCCAAAAAGGAAGAGGAAATCCTAGAACTGAGGGAGGCCCAGCAAAGGAAGAATGTGGGAGCCTTTCCCCCTAGCTACAGAACCTCCCCAGTGGAGGAGTCATCCTCAAAATTAGATTCTTTAGAGCCCACGCTGCAGCAGGACTTGGAGCGACTACAAGTAGCCCTGAGGCAGACAGAGGCCAGGGAGATTGAGTGGAGGGAGAAGGCCCGGGACCTGTCACAGTCCCTGGCCCAGAGCAAGGCCAGCATCAACAGTCTACAGGAGATAGCCATGTTCCTACAAGCCTCTGTCCTGGAGCGGGAATCAGCACAGCAAAGGCTGCAGGTGAGTCACTCCAGGGGAAGTAAGAGCCAAGAACAGAGCCCATCTGGCTGAACTCAGAGGCTTCCTGCTACCCTGGGCCTTGCAGAACCTCAGAGGGTGTGAGAAAGCTGAAGTGACATGCACCTGGACATAAGTAGAGCTCAGGCTACCCCTGCCCTCAGAGCTGGTCTAGAAGATGAGCTCTGAGTGTACTGGAGGGACACCCAATCTTTCCTGAGGGAGGGTCTCAAAAGGCCTCCTGGTAACAGTGATGTTTAGGATTATATCTGGAGACCAGTAAAGAGCTAGCTGGGAACAGAGCTTTCTGGGGAAAGGAAAAAGGAGAGAGCATAAGGAAGATCTGTGTAGGAGGTTCAGGTCACCTGGAACATAGAGGACCAGTTGACAAGAGAAGAGAGGACAATAGAGGCCTTGGCATTCAGGGCTTATAAGTCATGCTAAGGAACTGGGTCACTAGTGGGAAGTGAATGAAGTGTTTTGGGTGAAAAGTGACACAGTCAGAAAGATTGCTTGGGCCACCATGTGGAGCAACGCAGATCTGGAGGAGACCAACCAGGAAACTAATAGAAGTCCAGAGGAGAGGTGGAAACTTAAGATGGTAAGTGTGAATGAGGTAAAGAAAAAGCAGGAACGAGTCAAAGATGCTAAGGTTTCTTCCACTGAGATGAAGAAAAGCAGGGTTTGCTGGACGCCAGTGGCTCACACCTGTATAGCTACTCAGGAGGCAGAGATCAGGAGGATTGTGATTCGAAGCCAGCCCAGGCAAATAGTTCGCAAGATCTCATCTCAAAAAAACCATCACAAAAAAGGGCTTGTGGAGTGGCTCAAGGTGTAGGGCCTGAATTCAAACCCCAGTACCACAGTTAAAAAAAAAAGAAAAGAAAGAGGAGTGGAAGGTGAGTTGGTTTGGAAATGAAGCGAAGCTCTTGTGGGATGTGCAAGGGGAGATGTCCAGCAGGCAGCTTAATGAAGGGTATGAAGCTGAAGGATGAGGCTGAGACTGGAGACTTTGGGGCCATCAGCAGTTAGAACTCTGGTAGGAAGAGTGCCAAGTGAGAAAGGAAACAGGTTTAGGATAGGACTTTTGGGTATAACATTTAACCTTAAGGTCAAGTATTACCTTAGTCGCCTTCATACCCCCAGTACTGAGCCCAAGACTCACACAGTAGGCAATCAGGAAAGATAGATAGGTTGACCACTGAACAGAGAAAAGCATTGTTTGTTTTTCCAAGAGAAATTCAGTTCATTTTTCCAGGGAAATTAACTCTATATCCTGGTCCCTTACCAAGCCCCAGAAAATCCCTTCCCTCCTCACCTCAGAGACAGAACCCCCAGGGACTTGCCTTCTGGGAACTCACAAAGCACTGTTCTGATGAAAGGGCAATATGTGGAAGAAGCATTCTGTTTTATAAACTTTGGACTCAAGTTCCTGGGCTTGAAATAATACTGCATTTTATTAGGTATGTGTTCCTGGGTGAGAGCCTTTATGTGTCTGGTGCTTGAATTTCTCATGGATAAGATAGGGAACGATAGCATGCAGGGAGGTGATAGCCTGCTTGGGAAGAAAGAACTCATCAGTGGAATTCCTTGCCTATTTCCAGGCCCATCTTCACAGGCACAGCAAAAGGATGGTGTGTAACTGGGCCATAGGGCAATTCCCAGCCATGCTTTTGGGTTACTGAACAACATTCACTCAATATCGTTACTCAGGTCAGGGGCACTTCACCCACTCCCCCCTCAAAGGCATCTTTTAGGTGCAGCCCTTCATTATGGTAGTACCATTTTTAAAGCATTTTACATATTTTAATTATTCTACATGCCAGGAACTGTTACTCTCACTTTCTTCCACTACCCTAAAAAAAATGAATATTATGTTCATTTCGAAGTTAAGAAATGGCAGCCAGAGAAGTTAACTTGTCCAAAGTCGTAAAGCTGGTAACTGGTGGAAATGGGTTAGATCTAACAGTCTGACTTGAACTTGGTTTCTTGTCTTCTCGGCTCCTTCTTTCCTGACACTCCTTTCACATTCCATTCCTCATGTCTGTGTTCCTTCTTGACCCTTAATCATTTAAGAAACAAGGTGCTAAAAACTACCTAGTATTAGGTTTTCCCATTCATCAACCCCGTCAACCCTGAGGGTTTGCTCCATCTTGGAATATGTAGTCATTTTATAAAAGAGGAATTTGGAGTTTGGAACAAACTCCTATTTTGACCGGAGTCATGTAGTCAATAAGTGCTATACCCAATGCCACGTGACTATAGAGCCTTGTTTTTTTCTAGACCACTTCAGTGCCCCAACCTGTCACTTGGCTTATGGGAAATCTAAAATGACATGAGAACCCTGGTCCTAGCTCACTTGCAAGCTCACTGTGAATTCTTAGAAAACCCAAATTTTTTCCTTCCTTTGTTTTTGTATGTGTGTAGAAAATGAAGGTGCTAGGCTAGAGTAGCTCAGAGGTTTCAGGAAAACTAAGCCTATCTGAGTGAGGAAATGGAACTGGTTTTTATGAAGACAGAGGTTGACTTGGTTTGATTTTTTCCCATACCTCCACACCCCAGAAGGAGCTGGCACTTACCAGACAGGCTCTAGAGGAGGAGCGGCTATGTAACTCACACTCAACCCACAGAGCGGAGCGGGGGCCCAGAGCAGAGCTGGGTGTACAGCCCAGAGAGGTAAGCTGGGCCTACTAGGTACCATTAACCTAGGAAGGAGCTCCTGTCAGGGGCTTCATCCCCTCCCTTGGGAATTGGGTTCCTGAAACCCAGACTTACCTGTTGGTTCTTTTGCTTTCCATCTGTTCCCATACCTATCTGTGGGGCTGCCCAGGTAAGATTCATAGGTCTTTCCCACAGGTTTCAGGAGTGGAAGCTGAGCCTAGTCCTGATATAGAGGAGAAGCAGCTGTTGAGACAAAGGCTTGAACACCTACAGCAAGCAGTGGCACGGCTGGAGATTGACCAGAGCAGGCTACAATGCCACAATGTCCAGCTGCGGACCACCTTGGAGCAGGTCAGTAACTTCTATTCTCAGCTGTCTCCTCTGGGGTCCGGTGGGCATGAATCTCCACGTCTCATGTGGCTGCTAGATCAAGAATCGGTAAACTCCAACCAGTGAGCCAAATCTGGCTGGTTGCATTTCTGAAATAGTTTTATTAGAACATAGCCATGCATTGTTTGTGTCTGCTTGCCTACTACAACAGTGGCACTGAATAATTGTGACAGAGCTGCAATGCCCCACAAAGCCTAAAATTCTTGCTAAAGAAAATATTTGCTGACCTTTGCTTCAAAGGCCCAAGAAATACCTTCATCCTTTTCCAGGAGCATTTCTTCACATTCAAGGCTACACTAGCATGTGCTCTTCCCAGCCGAAGAGTCTTACTTCCCATGGTTACTGTCCCTTTACACTCACCTCTGCACATTGCTGACTCCACATCAAGACTTGATTTATCACTTGCATCTTGGCAGGTGGAACGAGAGCGGAGGAAGCTGAAGCGGGATTCCATGCGTGCATCCCGGGCAGGGACTCTGGAGATCAGTGAAGCTATGGCCTCATCACCCACACAGCAGGTTTACCTATTTTTCTCACTGCACCCCCAGTGACTAACAATCAGCCCTCTGCAATGCACATCCCAGGCCACCCTTGGACAAGAGACAGGCACTGCAACCAATCCAGAGAGCCCTTCCTGACTGGATTTGGAACTGCTGAGCACTGTCCTGGCCCTGAGAAGAAGGCCCAACATCAGTGGTGGGAGCAGAATCAAGGCTAGAATCCTCAGCCCTGCATTCTGAGGAACTCAGATCTACCCACTCCCATACCCATGCCTCAGGCTCACCCAGGAATAGGGCTCATGGGCTTTGGCTGGAATACCTGGCATAGGAGTGCTGCTTACCAGCCACTGACATGCCTGGGAGTTTGCTCACAGCTTTGCAGATCTTAGACCCCCTTGTAGTAGTAAATTTACAAGATTCGGGTTCTTGGTATTTTCTGGGAACAGAGCCCCTTTTTTTGGGTAAGGTGTTTGAGGAAAACTCTCTTAAATGATCACTATTAACTGAGGCATGTCTAACAATAGGTCCAGCCTGGCAGGAAGGGACTGTTTGTGGTGGCTGAGCATCTTCAGCTTTCCATCCCCCTTCCTTTAATGAAAGCTTTCCAAGGGCAAACACCATGTCTACTTCCCCTATGCATCCTCAGCTCATAGCCCTGGGCTGCTACAAAGCAGATGCATAGCATATTTGTTTTTTTTTTTAAAAAATAGGGCCTCAAAGAAGCAAATGGCATCCAAGCCTTTTGAATGTTTAATATTGCCCATTATGCTGCAATAGACCCTCCTGGGTTTCCTTGCCCCAAAACCATGTCCTATAGAAGATCAGTCTAAGTTCAGTTACTTCCAACCCATAGCCCTTGCCTCGGCTTCCAAGCTTGGGATGAGATAGCTGAAAGTTGCTTGTGGAAACCCAAGTGGTAAGGCAGATTCCAACAAGATTGGCATTTGTCTTCTTTAGGATGGAAAAGGACAGAGGGACTTCACAGATGCCAAATATATGGTTGAACTGCAGAAAGAGGTATGTTATGGAAGGATCTGTCTTCTAAGTCCCTTTTCCCTCACACTTAGGCAAAAAGGCCTTAGTATCTGCTGTGTGCTTGTCCCTTTGTGCACCTCTGACAGTGAGAGGGGCAGTAACTCCAGCCTTTGGAGAACTTAAGGCTCCACTGGAAGCAAGAAGGGCCCCAGTACTAACTCCATTTGGCATGTGCTTAGGGTGAGAGGAGGATAGAATGTATAATACAGGCTGACTTCCAGATTCACAATTAGAAAGGGAAAGGAAAAGGAAGAGGGCTAAAGGAGATGGGTCTAGGACAGACTAGAGCAAGAAGCACCATGCTGGCCCTTGCCCTCAGCTACACCCTGCAGGCAGGACTGTCATCAGCACACCAGGCAGAGGGACCTAGTCAGGCTGCCACACTTGGAGAAACTACATCAGTGCCTTCTTGCCTCATAGGCCTCACTAAAGACTCACTCTCTCAAGACCCAGGAATAAGAAGAAGTATAGAATTTTGATTTTTTTGTTTGTTTATTTTTGAGACAGGGTCTTACTAGGTAGCACAGGCTGGCCTCAAACTCTTAGTTGTCCTGCCTCCTCCTCCTGAGTATTGGTATTACAGGTGGAATTTTTATTTCTGTACCTGTTTCCGAAATCAGTAGTCACAACTTTAAAAAGAAAAACTAAATACAAATGAACAAACATATCAGGGGCTGACAGAATGGTTCAAATGGTAAAGAGCACCTGCCTAGCAAGCGTGAGGCCCTGAGTTCAAAACCTCAGTGCTGCCAAAAAAACCCAACAAATCAGTGGTCACTACTGGCAGAGCCTTACTCTAGCTAGACTTTAGCTGTTCCTTTGAATTTGGTTAAACTCATACAAAGCAATCCTGAGGCAGGGCCCTGACAGAGTGAGGGAAGAGAGTTCCCTGGGGTGGGATTTAAGGAGGTATTCACTCTTGTATCTCCTTAGATTTGTGCCCTAAATGTCTCTTGCCTCACCCTAGCCCTGGATTGCCCTACAATTCCTGTAGCTTCAACCTCTGAGAAATGGAGATTCAGTCAGTGATTCTCAATCCTGGCCTCACAGTAGAACCACCTGGGGAGCTTTGAGAAAATACTGATACCCAGGCCTAACCGTAGTCTAATTAAGTTGGAATATTTTCTGAGACCTTCCAAAAGGGGCACGATGGGGCTTTCTGCTGTGATTAAAATGTTCTATATCTTGATTAGGAAAATATGCCCATTATCAAGCTCATCAAAATGTATACTTAAAAGCTGAGCATGGATGTATGTGTAGCTCAACTGGTAGAGCACCTGCCTAGCAAGTGTGAGGCCCTCTGTTCAAATCTCAGTACCTCCCAAAAAAAAAGCTAGCTAGGAAGTTCAAATTTACAGGGCTAGAGGCCTGGCTCAAGCAGTAAAGCTCCTGCCTCACAAGCACAAAGCCCAGAGTTGAAACTCCAGTATATTATCCTTCAATAAAGTTGATGAGGGTTTGTTGATGTTTTGAGCTCCCTATTTGTGTCATCTCTGCAGCCAGGGCTGAAAGTCACTGGATTCTCTCTGAATCCTCAGGGCCCTGATTCCACTGCTGGGCCAAGAGCCACAGGAGCACAGTGCAGAAGAGTTGGGACAGCTTCAGTGCCCTTACCTGCTCTTCTTGGTTTTCCTGCCCACCAGGTAGCCCTGCTGCGAGCCCAGCTGGCCTTGGAGCGGAAGCAGAGGCAGGACTACATTGCTCGCTCAGTGCAGACCAGCCGTGAGCTAGCAGGCCTGCATCACAGCCTGTCCCACTCTCTTCTCACAGTGGCCCAGGCCCCTGAGGCTACTGTCCTGGAGGCCGAGACCCGCAAGCTGGATGAGTCCCTGACTCAAAGTCTGACATCCCCTGGGCCACTCCTGCTACAACCCAGCTCCAGCACTACCCAAACCACCCCCAGGTAGCAGCCACAACAAAAGCAGAATACAGGCCAACCTGGTAGCATACGACAGACCGATGACTGTAGAGGGGGTCATGGCCCCTCCATATAGCTACAGGTTTGCCAAAGGGAAGGTGTGGCTCTGTTATCTAATCTGGGTGCTCCAGGTTGGCTGACATTCCCAGAAGAGGACAGAAACATGCAAGGCTTGAGAACCACAGCTCGTGTGGGAATGAGGCAAGTCACATCTGCCTGCAAACCTACAGTGCCCAGAGTGTCTTCCCCTGGTTGAGGGCCACCTGCTGTCTAGGCCTGGAGACTCCAGCAACACCACAGTATGTAGGTGTTGTGATCAGGTCATGAACATTCTGGGAACATCAAGTACAGGGAGGTTCCGTCGTCCTCTTGTTTACAATGTATTTTCATAGCACCTCACCTTCTCCCTTACCTTCCCCTTCAACAGTAAACCCAGGGTCTTTGCATTAGTCGTTGGCTGCTGTCTTTGTGTAGCAGGGTAGCAGCAGTACATCAAAAGAATTAAAGAGCAATTTGCTAATTCAGGAATTTGCTGATTCCTGTCAGACAGCCTGAAAGCCACTTGAGGATACCAGATTAACACATTAATGATTTGGAGACAGTTCTGTGTACTGACTAGAAGTACTACAGAAATTCCAGGGACTGAGAAAGGGAGGTATGCCCTGGGCCTTGAGGGATGGGGAGTTAGGGGTGCTTCTAAGCACACTGATGGGAAGACTGGTCTGGCTGTGGCAGAGGATGGGACTGAGGCTAGGAAGGGGTGGATTATGGAGTGCCTCTAGTTCTAATTCATAGACAGTGAGGAACCACCAAATGCCTTTGACTTAGATCTTAAAAATACTTTATTGAGGGCTGGGCCATGGCTCAAGTGGTAGAGTACCTGCCTAGCAAGCACAAAGTCCTAAGTTCAAACCCCAGTACTGCCAAAAAACAAAAACAAAAATTACTGAGTCAGTTGATCTTTGACTGAAGTCAAAGTCTGGCCTCATTCCCCTTGACACATGGTTTTCTGCATGGATGCTTTAGAGGTGTCCTTTTCTGTGCTCCTCAACTGAAACTGCTTCTGATCCCCTTTGTCTATGTATCAAGCCAGTCAGGAGGATGGGCTATGGTAGAAATTGTCACTTTTGACCTGGGCCTGGCGGAGCAGTCTGGATTGAACCCAGCTCACAGGTCTAAGACCCCAAACTGACCTCTTTTGGTTTTCTTAGCTCTTTGCTACCAATGCCACCAGCTATTTAGATGCCTTCATAAGAACTGAAACTTAGCTCAGGTATGGGGCGGGGGGAGTGGCGAGACAGGTCATAGGACTTGGAGGTAAAATAATGAGTGGGCCAGGGATCAGAGGAGGTCTCAAGTTTCCTCGAAGCCTGAAAATACTTTTCTTCTACTTCCTTTTCCTCATCCTCTGCCTCCTCACCCTCCTTATTATCCTCTCCTTTTTTTGTGGTGCTGGGAATGGAACCCAGAGCCTTCCACATGCTAGGCAGGCACTGTACCACTGAACCACATCCCCAGCCCCCAGGTAGATTCCGTGTTCTTGTGTTGACTCTGGGGGCTCCTGCCTCCATTCTTTTAATGATCCTCCATATTTTTATTTTTATTTTTTCCCAGCATTGGGGTTTGAACTCAGGACCTCATGCTTGCTAGGCAAATGCTCTTAACCCTTGAGCCACTCCACCAGCCCTACCCTCCATGTTTTCTGTGTTGGAACAACAGTCCTCATGCCACAACCTAGTCACCTGTGCTCTCTGCTTCCCCACATGGAATCTTCCCCACACAGGATCTTGAAGGCAGAAAAGCTGCCTGGCATGAGTGTACCCTCTAGAGAAGGAGAAGCTGCTGATGTCTGTTAGGGTGAGGGAAATGGCCATTTTATATCAAGAAGCCAAGAGCTATTTGCTCTGGGCCGAGCGCCCTTCTTTTCTTACAGACTGATGAAACCACTGCAGTCCATACTGGATCTGGAGGCTTCAGTGACACCACAGCATGTGGCTGTGCTCTGGATGCTCTAAGTGCAGGGAGGTTCGGTTGCCCACATCATTCTCTAGACCCAAAAGTGGGCCCTGGTTCATTCTGCAGAGACAGGAAAGCAACTCAGGAAGGCACTGGGGCTCATGGCCCAGCACTGCTCCCTGCCCTCACCTCCTGCCCCACCTGAGCATAGTGTGGTGCTCATTGATGATTATCCCTCATTCCAAATACTTGAGATCTGCAAGTTGCCACCACCACACAGGACTGGCATGGGCAGGTATCAGGATCTGGCTGTGGTCTTGGGATGAGTTGAAATTGTTCTGCTTGGCCAGCTGGAGTTGAATTAGGTTTCCTGGGTTTGGTGCCTAAGGAGAAGAGTGTGATTACTCACTCATGGGTCCAACAGAGACAAGGGACTAGACCCCAATGGAGAGTGTGACCCAGCAGAGAAAGGAGTCAAGGGAAGAATGCAGCCCAGAGCCCAAGACTGACCCTACACCAGCCGCTGGAGACAGGATGGCCTCCAGTTCTATTAAAAGTTCTGGGACCATATGAAGTGCAGAACAAACCAGGCCCCTGCTGGTGGAAGCAGGCTTTGCAGATGTGGTGCCTGCTGGGTTGAGGAGTCGCACGCAGATCTTCTGCAGCTCTGGGCTAGCGGCAGGACTTTCAGAAGTTCTCCTGGTTAGCTTAGTTTGACATGGGGATAGATAACATCTCCAGCTGCCCCCCTATAATACCTCATGTCCTGCCTCCTGACCCATTACTCCGAAGATCAGGGACAGAGGTGCTGTGGACAGGAGCAGTAGGGAGAAAGAACTAGGGATGCCTGTGTGCTCCACGCAGTGAACCCTCTCCACATGACCATGAGCATGGTGAAGGCAGGAAGAAGGAAGAACCAAAGCACTGGGTCTCAGAGCCTCAGAGCCCTGGATTTATTCCTTCTTGCTGAGGCCAAGATTTGCCTAGACACTTGATGGAGATGAAGATGAGAGGTGAGCCTTCTCTGGACTATGCTCCTGCTCCCACAGGTGTCACTTAGCTCATTTACCTCAGCCTGGTCCCATTATGGACTCTTTTTTTTTTTTTTCTTACCCCTTGGCTGCCAATGTCACCAGCTCTTTAAATGCCTTCATATGATCTGAAGCTCAACTCAAATGGGAAGGCTTGGAGGTAAAATGTAAGTGAGCCAGGAGTCAGAGAAGCGAGTCTGTAAGGCTGGGAAAGTGAATCAGAGTGAATGACTGCCCAATAGAGAAGCCTGGTGGATGAGCCAGGCTGGTGCCAGCCACTATCCCTAATCTATCTTTTCATTCATTTGGCAAATACTCCTTAAATTTCTGTCACAAAGCTCCACAATGGTGCTGACTCCAGGAGAGAGACCCAGGACACAGATAAACACTGACATCATGACCCAGATACCCAGAAGTGACTCTGGCTGCTCCTGATGAGGCCAGGGAAATAGTCATAGAACATTTTGGAGGAAGAAAGGGCTGAGGGCCATCCACAGTGTTTGTCTAGAGCTAACTGGATGCTCTGGATGTATGGATTCAAGGGGTCCATCTGCAGGTCCAGGAGCAGTGGCAGGCTGTCAAAGTGTATCAGCTAGCCCAGTCAGAGCAGAACTTTCTGATCAAAATGCAGAATCAACCACAGGTAAACATCAAGGCACACCACAAGCCTCAAAGCCCCCATTAAAGCTACATTCTTGTTCCGTGGTCCAAGGTACACAGTAAGTGGCAGGCTGAGTGGGATGCCAGACACTGGGAAAAGTGGGCAGCTATGGTCATAGACTCGACCAACGTCTCACGGCCCTGTGTGCCTCCATTCCTCCAGCCTTTCACAAACATCTTCCAGTACTTCACCTCTTGCCCCCCTCTCCACCTGTTAAATCTTAAAGGGTGCTTATCTGGAGGGGAAGAGGTGATGTTTGGTCTGTCGTGTGGCCTCCCTGGATAATGGCCAATAAAGTCCTTCATGCCAGACCAGTTCTATCAGGTACTTCATTACTGAAGTCACATTGTGGTTCCTGAATGTAGACTGTCATAAGAGAAGCTTTACTTTGTCACTTAGCCCAGAGCACAGCTGATGAAAGAGGGCTTGGAAGTCAAGTGGTGGAGACAGGAATGAAAACAGGTGAGAACAGGAGCTGAGGCTAGTGTGCCTCTCTGAGGGGTGCCATGTAGTCCCAGTGAGGGTTGTCAAGCAGGAAGCAGAGGGGGAAAGGAAAAGCCTTTTGGTCCCTTTCAGGAAAAGAATCCATAGGAAAACACTAATGTGGTTCAAAATTAATTCCCAGCCATCCAAACCATTTTCTTTGGTAGATTTTCTTGGCATTTATTTTAAATGAAGCAATTGCAATGCATATGGCTAAAAAATTAAATAGCAAAGAAAGCAGCAGTTTCTCACCCCATTCTTCTCTAACATCTCCCCAGAAGCAAACCAATTTTTCTGGTGATTAACTTTATTAGTCTAAGTAATAAATTTAAGATGCCGTATGGGTTCAGTATCTGGAAAAAGAGGCAGCACTGCTCACACTTCAGTTCTGGCTCTGAGCTTCCTCTATACTTCTAGACCCCCGTGAACCATCTCTTGGGAAGGTAGGTAAATGTGTCTGCAGTTTTAGGAGGGGTGTTTGTATTTTGTTTAGTTGTGTGTAGTTGTTAGGCAGCCACCTGGATAGAATGGAGGGGATATTGTTTTAGATACCCAACAACTGAAACTCTCATTAACTGAGGCTGTGTAGTTTGCTTTGAACTAGTTTCTACCAAAAAGACAGAATAAATGATCCCTCCACCCACACACTTCTTTACCAATTTTCAGAGTAAGGGGTTGATATAATCACCTCCAACAAATTGTTTTTCTCTTTGATTGCGTTATGGACTCGAGGTTATATCCACAGTGACTGAATCATGATAGTGCTTTTTATTTTTATACAGTTTTTATTTTGTTTTATTTTTGGCAGCCTTGGGGTTTGAATCAAGAACTTCAGAACTTCATGCTCATACCACTTGAGCTATTCTGCCAGCCATTTTTATTTTTATTATTAGTAATACTAGGTATTGAACTCAGGGCTTGGTGCTTACTAGACAAGCACTCTACCACTTGAGCCATGCTCCTTACCCCTTAACAGTTGTTTTTGTTCTTGTTTTGGTGATACTGGGATTTGAACTCAGAACTTTGTGGTTATTAGGCAGGCTTCCATCACTTGAACCACACCTCCAGCCTACCAGTTGTCATTTTTTGATACTCAAATTGCATCAAATTTGATGTCCAGGTTTTCCTTATACTTTTTTTGTCCAGACCTAGAATCTTCTTTTTTAATTTTTTTAAAAATTAAAAATTTTTTTTTATTTATTCATATGTGCATACATTGTTTGGGCCATTTCTACCCCCTGCCCCCCGCCCCCTCAAACCTAGAATCTTCTAATGGAAAAAAGCATTTAGAAAACAAAATCTAGATTTCAGGGTTGATCATCACTACTGGGGTAAGAGAAACACAAAATATATTTGGGATGGAAGAAATGTATTTTGAAAACTTAGCTCAAGATGGTAATGCTGGTGACTTGCAGACCCTGAGACCAAAGCATCAGCCTGGCTCTTGTGTGCCATGTCTAGTTCCTCCAGTGTGAAGAAGGTGGTTCAGCAGCCCCAGCTGGAGGCCAGGCTCAATCCTGTGAAGGTTTCCCAGGCAGCTGCAGACTTAAAACAATTCTGGCCAGGTGCCAGTTGGCTTGCACCAGTAATCCTAGCTACTCAGGAGGCAGAGATCAGGAGGATCGTGGTTTAAAGCCAGCCAGGGGAAATAGTTCTAAACCTTCACAAAAATAGGGCTGGTAGAGTAGCTCAAGGTGTAAGCCCTGAATTCAAGCCCCAGTACCACAAAAAATAATTCTGTCTGCAGAATGCCCACTCTGACCCCCCAGCTGACGGGAGTGTCTTCAAATACAAATCCCTTCAGACCCCAGAAAGTCTGCTCCTTTTTGTAGTCAAATCTTTCAGAGATTTCCCAAGCCACTTTTCCTGAACCAAGTGAATATTCAAGAAAACTAAATTTGAAGCTTGTACAAAAGCTTCCCTGTAGCACATATGCCATAATATACAAACTTCTACTTTCATCAGTCTACCTCCCTGAATTTTTTCATACAGGTAATTGTTTTAAGTATGCTGGCAGCAGCATACAATAAAATACTTAGTATAAAGAAAAAAAGAAAAGATTGGAATGCTACATAGTGGCAGAGTGGCTCAGCTGGTAAGAGTGTCTGTCTAGCATGAATGAGGCCCTGAGTTCAAATGCCAGTGCTGCCAAAAATAAATAAATAAATAAAAGTTGGTAATGCTTCAACAACCATGTGAATGTACGTAATGTCACTGAACTAACTACACTTTTAAATGATTACATGGCAAGTGTTATGTATATTTTAATACAATGAATTATTTTAGGGCTGGGGGCGTAACTCAGTGGTACAGCAGGTGCCTAGCCTGTACAAGGCCCTGGGTTCCATCCCCAGCACCAAAAATCAGTCACTTTCAAAATTAAGTTCCTAATGGTATTTCCAGTTTGAATTTAATGTCATAGGGGTTTTGATTTTGTATTTTGTTCTAAATAATATATATTTTCATATATAGTTTCAAAAATAATACTAAAACTATATTAAATCTATTGAATGAAATTTAAATTTTTGTATTTGTTTTTGTCCACAGAAAATACCCTACAAAGGATGCCTAGTCAATGTATAGAGCTCTAAAAGAACTTGAAATAATTCTTTTTCTGGTGCTTATTTTATCAATTTGATACACAGTTGTGTTGATTTGATTGTTTTTCAATTTTACCCACTTTCACTTAATTTTATTTTTTTTTATAAGGTACAGTGTAAGAGGCACATGGAGATACATTTGCTGTTGAGATACAGTTAAAGAATGTAGCCTGTTAGGAATCCAGTGAGAGAAATAAGCTAGGGTTTTATTCAGTATCAAAGTGATCTCCATGAAGTCCATTTGAAGCCCATTCCCTCTCTGACAGGTCCACTTGGCTACCTGTCTCCTTCTTGGGACCTCCAATAGAACCATCTGGGCTCCTGGGACCTCCAGTGGAACCATCTCAGCTGTAGATGCCAACCTTCCCCTCACACTGAAGCTTAAAGATGACCTGTTGTTCTTCCGGGAACTTTTGCATGATGCCGTCCAACAAATATCCAGCATCCCAGTAATGGGACCATCTTTCAAAACGATCTGCCCCAAAACCAAACAAGGATACCTGGGAAATGAGATAGGACAGAAAATGGCCATAGGGTAGCAGGCTGGATCCTCCTGACATACACACATGCGCACACACACACACACACCTGTCACTACTGCAAACACACCCTGGGTGAAGACTTCCTCTAGGGGCTGGGAGGAGGAAGGTGCTCATCCGGGGAAGATGGACCCGGAATATTCAGTGACTCCAAAACCTAGAAAAGATCATCAGCTAGCTGCTTCCAGCGTATTGAGGAAAGAGAAAACTCCCCCCACCCCCCAGATGAGGACATTTCAGGCATGTAAGATGCCTAAGGCAGCTGATAGGATGGTGGAACTGCAAGAAGCCCAGTGCAGAAGCCTGGGAGAGAGGTGGTAAAGGGTCAGGTCACAAAGGGTCTTGAAAGCCAGGCAGAAAACCTTAGATTTAAACTAAAGTCTCTGGGAAGGCAGATTTTTTTTTTGAGGGGGGTGCAGTACCGGAGTTTGAACTCAGGGCCTTGTGCTTGCTATGCAGGCATTCTACTACCTGGGCCAGTCTGCCAGCTCTTTTTTTGTGTTGGGTATTTTTGAGATAGGATCTCTCAAACTATTTGCCTGAGCTGGCTTCTAGCTGCAGTCCTCCTAAACTCTGCCTCCTGAGTAGCTAGGATTACAGGCCATGAGCCATCAGCAGCACCCAGCTGGAAGACAGAAATTTTTATGGCAGAGGAATGAAGGTCTGTGAGTTGCAAAAGATGTCTTACCTGGTCACAGGTGTGCAAGGCATATACTATGGCCACAAATCCCAAGGATGGATACTGACCCTTGTTTTTCAGCCAGTATTCCTGGATATACCTGAGGAAGGAGAGGCTGATCACCAGAACCTGAGGAAGATGGAGGAGGTGTTGACCTGAACCCTTCCCATAGACACCCATAGTCACATCCTCCTCTCCTTTCCCTTTTCCTTCCTGGGTCCCTTACCTTGTCTTTGTTCTCTTTGGTTCCACCAGGGAACTGGACTATCTGATATCTAAAAAGGGATTGCAGTGAGGGAGATTTCAGAGTCATTTGACACAGCCATCTCCCCACAAGCATAGGTAGGCCTTGGGGTGCCCCAATATCAAGAAACTCTTTGGAGTTCCCACTGTCACTCCCTTAATGGCCTCCCCTCAGTGACTACCCAGGGTTTCTTGGCTTCCAGGCATATTCGTGTCTACACAGTACTTTCATGACCCACTCCAGACCAGATGAATTCAATGGAAGCAGTAGCAGCTGGGTGCCAGGGTCGTGCATACTGGTCATCTCAGGATACATAACACACATGGTGGTCTTGTTCCCCACATCTGTCTCAAAGCCTTGGACAGGGCCCAAGTTCATCCTGAAAAGGACAGGGTGATCATTTGGAGGAGGAGGAGGTTTGAGCTGATCCTCCCAGTTTCACCTCCTACCCTGTACCCACCTGAGCACCATGTCATGTTGGTCAATCATGAAGCCAAGACCAGAACCCAACATGGATCTTGAGTTTCCCACCACTGCACAGGTCCGGCAGCTGGAGCCCACAGGGTCTGGGGGGTGATTGGGAGGTGCTTCAGGCATCTGCTTACTCTCAACCTTCTTCTCTGACTTGGCTCCCTGAAGACTCTAGGAGCCATACAAGGGAGGAATTTAGGGGCTTTGTCGAGGCTCTGACTACATGTAGAATGTAGAAAGATGGCAGAACCTGGGGTCAGGGACAGGGACCAGACAAAGATTAAGAATGTATACTGACCAACCATAATAGCAGAGCATCAGAGGACATCGAATCTTCTGACCTCTGCAGGGGTTCGATGGTCCTTAAGAAGTGTCTGTCAAACCAGTCAGACTCTCCAGGTACCTGGAGGCAGGCAGAGCACTTGCAGACCTCACATAAGCAGCTACACTTTCTGGAAGCATTTCTAGGACACTGGCAGGTCCTTGACTGTGTCCTGCCCATACTATGGAGTGTGTTCTGGTTGAACTTCTGGCTCAGGAAGGCTATCAACCACAATGAACACACACAGGCAGCTACCAGACCCAAATTCCAGTACCGAATCATGTTTGACCCCGATGATAGTGCCCCTGGCAGACTGTGGATTGGCTTTGACACCTGACACAAGGAAGGAGGAGAGTCTGTGACCACAATAATCCTCAGTGACCCTATGTTAATGGCTTCGTTCCTCTCCCAATCCTCCACTCCACACCTCCCAACACTTCACTTCTGTCCTCCTTACCTAGCCACCATTCACCACTAAAGAGAGCAGCCAAGTCCTAAGTGTGATGCAAAGAGGTGACACTTCTTGTGTTCTCTGGCCTCCTCAAGGAGATTTATGCCTAGTGGGGTCTTTCTGACCCTGCTGTGTGAGGTACCTGCCTCCTTACAGAGACTGCATTGTGACCTCCTTCACTCGGGCTCCTGAGCAAAGCCTCCTCCTTCACTTTGGCATGTAGCACAGAGGACAAAGGAGGTGTGGGACCAAAGCGTCAAGAGGACAGAAGGGTAAGGGGTGAGAGGACTGGTCAAGCTGTAGTAAGTGAGCAGGACACAGAGGGACAAGGAAGGGCCCTTTGGAACCTCCTGGGTGAAAGAGAATTTACCATCTTGATGAAAGTGACATTTAACCCTTAAAACCTCCGAGGGTTGACTTTTCTCTTCTTTTCTTTTCCTTTATCTCATTTTTTTTTTTTTCTGAGATTGAACTCACTAAGTATCCCAGGCTGGCCTTGATTCTTCTGCTTTTGTCTCCTGAGTGCTGGAATTACAGGTGTGAACCACCACACCTGGTTGATTTTTTTTTTTTTTTTGAGAACTGTTACTAAGGTAAATCCATGTAATTTAAAAAAAAAAGTAGCATCATTCAGATTGTTGTTGTTTTTAAGAGCTTTTATTTTTAATTGACATATAATTGTACATGTTGTGTGGGATACACGATTCAAATAAATATACCCAAGTTATTCTCTGCTACTTGCTTAAAGAGCATCTAAACAAAGCGGCCAGAAGGGAGGCCATGTTGAACTCGACAAAGAGGGCTTTTCTTCACCTAGGCTCATCTGGATTCCTAAGTATGCCAGTAGCAACCTCTCCCTCTCCCTCGAGTGAGTACCACTCCGATGCTGGGGCACCTGATGGCAGCAATTCGTCCTTACTGAAAAAGACACTGGAGACCCATCCGTGCTTTGAGAAGTGCCATGATCCCCTGGATACCGTATTTTCAACTGAGGTATGCCACTTGGTATAAGAAACAAGGCAACAGGCTGTCGCCCATAGATTTTGATGGCTGGATCCTGGCCTCCCCCAGAAGCAGCCAACTGTGGAACTACAGGATAACTATAAAGACTTTATTTGGACTCTAGTTTCAACAAGATGATGAATTAGAGGGGGTGGGGGCAGGGGGAGAAATGACCCAAGCCTTGTATGCACATATGAATAATAAAAGAAAAAAAAAAAAGATGAGTTAAATGATAACCTGAAAATGTTCTTGCTACAGGTGGCCACAACTAGACAAAACAAAATACTGCAAATCGTTTAAATTCTATTTAATTTTGAAATGTATAATAAGGGTTTGTGGTATGTAATTCAAAAGGCACAAAAAGTAAATGATGTAGCTTTTTTTTTTTTTTTTAGATACTAGAGTTTGAGCTCAGGGCCTTGTGTTTGCTAGACAGGCACTCCTCCACTTGTACCATACCCACTACAAAAAGTAAGTGAAAAGAAAGTATCTGTCCATTTGTTGTTTCCCATCCACCAGTCTCCTCCTCATCCCAGAGACAATTCCTAAGCATTCCTAATGCATTAATTTGAATATATATATATATATATATATATTTTTTTTTTTTTTTATACTGGGGATTGAATTCAAGGCTTCACACTTGCTAAGCAAGGCCTGTACCACTTAGCTACACTCCTGGTCTCTTTACTTTTAATATGTTTTTCATATAGGGTCTCATGTTAACTTTGCCCAGGCTGACCTCAAACCATGATCTTCCTATCTCTGCCTCTCAAGTAGCTGGGACCACAGTTATGTACCATCATGCCCAACTGTGCATTATTTTAATAAAAACTATCTTAAATGTAAAGCAAAGTTCACAAGAAAACCCAGAAATCTCCAGATGCTAGAATTAAAAAAGAGAACTGAAAAACAGTCCAGAAATTTAGAAGTTTTAATGCTTATGTGTGCAGAGGGCCTTGAGCCCAGGGAATGAAGGGAATTGGAACTGGTACCCTGAACAAACTGGGAACCTCAAAATGCTGAGCCTTCTATAAAAGCTGGGCTGGGAAAAAAAACCCTTTCTCCCCATGGGTGAGACAAAGAGGCTGCCGCTTTACTCTGACAACTCAATGTCAGGCTTGCACTTTGCACAGGGTTGTGTCTACATTTACCCCTCCTGCATGGTCCAGGGGAGGAGGCAGACAGATATCATAAACATTGCCCCTGAAATCTGGCCCTTCCTCCCTAGGCCCTGTACTTGCTGGTAAGAGAATCAGGTTAGGAGTTTATTCAGTACCAGACTGATCTCCATACAATTTCCTCTTGCCCTTTACCCCAGAAAGTCTTTGAAGTTCAGCTGCTTCTGCGGTGGCTGTGATCCTATCACTCCCCAGCATTCAGGGACAAAGGTAGGATTGGTGTGGCCTCAGTTTGTCATTACATGTGGATGGTGAGCTTGCCCACACACCTGTAGCTGATGGACAACTTCCATTTCTGCTTTTGTATTCTGCATAGACAGGGCTGCTGGGGACCATTGGCCTGGTTATCACTCTCACACTAATGGGACCATTTTCTTTGATGTTCTGATAGAAATCCAAAGAGGATGGCCTGGTGATTGAGAAAGGGATGTGTGTATGTCAGCAGGCTAAAGTCTATCTTTACCCCACCTTCCCTCATTAGACATCTAGTGTGACAGGCTACCCTGGGAGCTGGGAAAAAATGGAACTTGCCTTCTCTGGGGAAGACAGACTGCACACACTGAGATAAACACTCATATAGAGTCACACTGGAGCCCAAAAAAGAGCATCAACTAGTTACTCCCCATGACACTGTAGGAAGATTTCTTGGGGAGAAAAGAGTACACTCTGGACAGAGGGAACCACCTGTGATAAAGCATGAAGTAGCTGGTATATTTGGGGAACCTGAGAGAGGCTGTCAAATCATGCAGAGACTTGAATGCCAGACAGAAAGCTTTAGACTGTACTGCGGCATTGGGAGACAGAATAAACTTGATGGGAGGAAGTTACAAGAAACTTTCATGACTAGACACAGCCGTACAAGATCCTCAGGGATGGATACTGACCCTGGCTATCCAGTTGCCCTGGCTGTACATGGGAAAGAAGGGGAGGAACTGTCTGAAGGCCCTTCCCACAGTAGTCCCCAGCTACATCCTTTTCCTTTTCTCTTCCCTTACCTTGTCTTAACCATCTCTCAATCCTTTAGGGAAGCAGACCATCTTCCAAAATCTAACAAAGAATTGGAGGTGATAGAGTGTCAGAAACCCTCCTCAATCCCGCAGGTGCCCCCAGTAAACCAGCTAGACTCTTCTGGGACCCCCTGCTGTCTTCCCCTAAAGTGACACTCCACCCCCAGCCCTACACTGAGAATGTCTGGGAATATCTCCTCTGTCACCTTGTTACTCAGAGCATCTGAAGTCCACACCAGATCAGAAAGCTGCAGCATCAGCAGTAGATGCTGCCTCCAGGAACCCTGGTGGCTGGCATTCCTAGGACAGGTGAAGGGTCCTGTGGTTTGCTTCTCCACACCCACCTCAAAGTCCTGGACAGCCTGGGATGCCCCATTTGTCCTGGGAAAGAGAACAGATGATGACAGAACCTAGGGCCGGCCTTGAGGCAGGCTAGAAGTAGAAAAAGGTTGGGGATCATATGTAGTTTGCCCAGGGATGGCCCAGACCATCCTCACCTGGCTGGGAATGGCCCATGCCCCTCCCCACTCATTCACTATTGGATGGGAATTTCCTGGTTCTGCCCTACCCATGGGTTAGTGTAGGTTTTAAAAGCACCTGAAAAAGAAAAAGCATACTCTCTCTCTGCCAGCAGACTCCACTTACCCCCACCATGTTCCCCTTTGTATTTCCCTTTTTCTAAGATTTAATAAACCCCATTCACACCCGTGTGTTCTGCTTGGATTCTTCCATGCCAAAGGACAAGAAACAAGGTCTTCTGCAAACACCGTTTGTGGTTAACAGCCTGACCTTCACCCTGCTGCCCTTTCCTGTTTACCTACCTGAATACCATGCAGTGTTGGTGGATGCTGCTGAGGCTGGGGCCCTGCAGGAGCTGTGGTTTCTCCACCACTGCACAAATTCCACCGTGGAAATCAAGATGGTGCACCAAGGGCCTGGGAATCACTTGCAACAGCTTCTTCCACACTTTCCCAAGCTCACTCACTGAGTTCATGTCCTGGTAACAGCCAGAGGAGGAGGTTGGGGACTGGAGCCAGGAATCAGCTTCCAGTGGAAGGAAGAGAGCCTGAGTTGGGGAGACCTGAAGCTAGAGCTCAGGGTTGAGGTTGAAGAGGGGAGATAACGCTAAGCAAGGTTGAGGGGAGGAGGGTGAGCCAAAAAAATGGAAGCTGGGCTGGGCCTCATGAGAAAAAAGACAGGACAAAGCCCAATGCTGACCACTGACCAGCCACCAAAGAACTTTTGTCCTCATCAGGTACTCTGTAGTCTTCGCATGGTATCCTTCAAACCAGTTCCATTCTCTGACTGTGTGGTGGCAGGAGGAGCAGTTGAGGGTCCCACAAGGGCAGCCACACTTCCCAAATTTCAACCACAGGTAGTTGCAATGCCATGGTACTGAGTATATCCATTTTTCCAGGGGTGCTGATTCAGGTTCCGGATCCAGGTAGGTGGCCATCAGCCACAAGATGAGCACCGAAAAGACCCATAGGACAAAAATCTGCCACCTGTGGTTCATGTCTGGCCCAGGCAATAGCTCACGAGGCAGGCAGCAGACTGGCTTCTCTTTCTGGAAGGATGTAGGGCTGAGGAAGAAACAGAGCCAGCATTCCTCTATCCCTCTGCTGGCCTCCACAGCTCCCCTCCCCTCTACCCCATCTCCTTCCAGTCTCTCATCTCCTGCTTCCCCATTCATTTGCTCACTCACAAGAGGACCTTGACTAGGCCTGAGATGGCAGATGCCAGATCAGTGTCCTAAATGCTCCCTGAAGGATTAGCCCTCAGTGTCAGCCCAGTTATATCATAGGTCTCATCACAAAGTACATATTGTGACCACTCTCTGTAGCTTGCCTAGAAAAAGTCACCACCCTGTCCTTTCTCCAATACACAAACAACCTACACTAAATACCTGCTCCGTGGGGTAGCTACCAATCTTGGGTCTCTCCTTTGAGTGACTTCCACTTAGATGTCTCTGGGACATCTCACCTGAGCAAGACTGAGGCTAGAATTATAATTTTCCCTATAAGTCAGTTCCTTCCTAAGACTTCCCTGTCTCAATACATGGACCCACAATCCGTGTGTCCTCCCAAATTCATATGTTGGAATTTAATTCTTCAGTGTTGTGGTATTGGGAGTCAGGGCCTAAGTGGGAGGTGTTTGGGTCATGAGGTCAGAACCCTCACAAATAGATTAATACCTTTCAGGAATGGGTTAGTTATTTTAAGAATTTAGGGCTGTATTCTTTCTCTTATATGTGCCCCCCTCTCCCCTTCTAACTTCTCTATGTTATGAAGCAACACAGCCTTCATATGATACAACTGCCTGGTCTTATGCTTCTCACCCTGTAGTTCCATGAGCCAATATAAACTTCTTTCCTTTATAAATTACTCAGTCTCGGGCATTCTGTCATAACAACAGAAAATGGACTAAAACAACTAATAACTGAAGTCAGAACCCACATATTATTCTCCCTCTCCTATGATGTCCAAATCCCTTTTAGGATCCATTTGGTTCTTTCTCCAAACCACCTCCTCTTCATCTCTATTGCCACCCCTTAATTCTATCCTAGCCTTGTGGAAGACATTAAAAAGTAAAATGAGCCAGTTGTGGTGGTTCAAGCCTGTAATCCTTGCCACTCTCAAGGCAGAGATAGGGAAGATTGCAGTTCAAGGCCAGCCCAGACAAAATGTTCACATGACTCCCTTCTTAGTCAATGGCTAGGTGTAGTGACCCATGCCTGGCCTCCCAACTATGCGGGGAAGCACAAATAGGAGGATCACTGTCCAGGTTAACCTAGGCATAAAGCAAGACCCTGTCTCAAAAATAACCAATGCAGGGCTGGTGGAGTGGCTCAAGGGGTAGAGTCCTGCCTAGTGAGCTTGAGACTCTGAGTTCAAACTCCAGTCCCACCAAAAAAGAAAAAAATGCAAAAAAGGAATAGGGAGTAGTTCAAATGGTAAAGCACCTGTCTAGCTAGCTCAAAGTCCCAAGTTTACCCCTGGTACCCAGGGCCAGGCAAGTGCTCTACCATTTAAAAATGTTTTGTGTGTGTGTGTGTGTGTGTGTGTGTGTGTGTGGTACTGGGGTTTGAACTCTGGGCCTACACCTTGAGCCATTCTACCAGCCCTTTTTGTGAAGGATTTTTTTTGAGATAGGGTTTCTTGAACTATTTGCCCCTACTGGCTTCGAACCATGATCCTCCTGATCTCTGCCTCCTGAGTAGCTAGGATAACAGGGATGAGCCACCAGCTTCTGGCTAAAAATACTTTTTTAATATACCTACAGGAGTAAATCTACCTTATTCTTTTGAATATGTAAATTTTTTTGGCAGTAATGGGGTTTGAACTCAGGGCCTCATGCTTTCCATGCAGGCACTCTACTACTTGAGTCACTCCACCAGCCCTACACCATTCTTTTGAAAAGCTTCACAATATCCCATAAAATGGATACACATTCAGGTTGCTTCCAGTTTTTTTGCTATTGAACAATCTCATGTATAGAGCTCTATGATAAATTTTATGAAATATCTTTGTCATGTGGTGCACTTTATTTTGGTCTGTACTGGGGTTTGAACTTGCTCGGCAAGTGCTCTATCACTTAAGCCAAGACTACAGCCCTTTTCTTTCTTTTTTCCACTTTGTTTTTCAGGTAGGGTCTGAGTTTTTGCCCAAGACTTCAATCCTGTTGTCTATGATCTGTATAGCTGGGATCACAGGCACTCGCCACCACTCCTGGCTTATGGATCGAGATGGGGGGTCTTGCTAACTTTTTGTTCCGATGGCCTCAGGCCACAATCCTCCTGATCTCTGCCTTCTGAGTTGGTGGGATTACCGGCATAAGCCACTATGCCTGGCCCACTTTTTTTTTTTTTTTTTGAGACAGAGTCTGCCTGTGTAGCCCAGGCTGGCCTTGAATTTGTTTTCCTCCTACCTCAGTCTTCTGAATGCTGGGATTACAGGCATGAACCACTATGCCTGGTCTGGTACACATTAAAAAAAAATCCTTAAAGTGGGTGCTGGGGACTCACACCTGTAATCCTAGCTACTCAGGAAGCAGAGATCAGGAGGACCACGGTTTGAAACCAGCCTGGGCAAATAGTTCATGAGACCCTATCTCAAAAAAACCCTTCACAAAAAAGGGTTGGTAGAGTGCCTCAAGGTATAGGCCCTGAGTTCAAACCCCAGTACACACACACACACACACACACATAAAATCTTTAAAGGACAGATTTTATATTGGGGGAGGGGGTGTAACAACCACCCAGCAACATAAAGTGAGATTCTTAAAGTGGGATTTCTGAATCAAAGTCTATATGCAGCCAGCACCTGTAGTCTCAGCTACAGGGGAGGCTAAGGCAGGAGGATAGCTTGAGTCCAGCTGTTCCTGGCCAACATAGTGAGACCCTTTCTCAAAATGAAAAATAAAACCTGTGAACATGTTTTTAGTCATTATAGTTGTATGTATATATAGATACAACTATATACATAGTTGTCCCTTAGGAGACAATAGGCTACAATAGGAAGTATCAGTGGGGAAACTTCCACATCACTTAAGTATAGGCCTGGAGGAGCCCAGGGTCTGTCTGGAAAAGGTCTGTCAGGAACAACACTAGGGTGCTGCTTGATAAAAGCAGCCCAAAAAGACTTAGTTCCTAGAATTCTTTGAGGTCCAGAAGAACTGGGCTGGAATCAGGTCCTGATATTAATCAGTTTGCTCTCAGGAACATGGAGTTAACATCTACTTTCCAGAGTGGGGATTCTCACACGTTAGCTGCACCAGAATCAGCATGGTGCCACCCTTGACTTCCAGATTTGTAGGTGGGAGTTGATTATTTGCATTTCTAACCAATTTCCAGGCCAAAGGATACTTTGGAAATCAGTATTCTAGGAGGTCTGAAGTGGAAACACTTTGGCCCAGTTACCGACTCAAGCGAACGCTGCTACTGTTGTTTCTAGCACTCAGAGACCTCCTTCCAGCACCCTGGTCCACTTAGCATCCCCCAGCTGACCACCAAGCCTAAGCCCCAACTTCTGAGCGAGGAGGCGTGGCAGCATAGGTGGGCGGGGCTTCCCATCGGGACGGGGGCGAGGGGTGAGGCCCGGCGTGCGTACTGCTGCGCCTGCGTGAGGAGACGAGGGGGCGTGGCTCCGACTCCGGGCCGGAAGCGGGAGCCTGCAGGGGCGGGCCGGCTGGGGTCCCCTTTCCGGCCGGTCCCCATGGAGGCTCTGGGGAAGCTGAAGCAGTTCGATGCCTACCCCAAGACTCTGGAGGACTTCCGGGTCAAGACCTGCGGGGGCGCCACGGGTAGGCCTCGGCGGGGCCGGGGTTGCGGGGAGGGGGTGTCCTAGAGCTTGGCCCGAGTGCCTTGACTCTGACCGGCCTGCTGGAGTCTAAGGGAGTGAAACAGAGGCCATTCTGACCCTCGCTCCCTGCCCTGTAGTGACCATCGTCAGTGGCCTTCTCATGCTCCTTCTGTTCCTGTCCGAGCTGCAATATTACCTCACCACTGAGGTAAGGGGCGGGGCCTGGAATGTGGGCGTGGCTTGGCATTCTATGGGTAGGGATGGGAGTGGGGAAGGAGAAGCTTGGGGCCAAATCTTACTGAAGTAGCGCTGCCCCAGGTGCATCCTGAGCTCTACGTGGACAAGTCGCGGGGAGATAAACTGAAGATCAACATCGATGTTCTTTTTCCACACATGCCTTGTGCTTGTGAGTACCTTACCATGGGTGGGAGTTGGGAGTCTCAGGGTTTTCAGGTGGGCTCCCAGATTCACACCTCCAGTCTTAGATTCTGGACTGGATCTCAGGACAGCCTTCTTCCCCTACAAAGTTCTGCCAGAAGACAGGCTCTTTCCCTCCAAAGCCCAGATCTCCATGCCCCTAGAGTCCTAGTGCATTAACTTGATTTCCTGCTTCCAGATTTGAGCATTGATGCCATGGATGTGGCTGGGGAACAGCAGCTGGATGTGGAACACAACCTGTTCAAGCAACGACTAGACAAGGATGGCATCCCAGTGAGCTCAGAGGCTGAGCGGCATGGTAACCAGGGGAGGGGACTAGATCTCAGATCCCAAAGCTGGATTACCCAAGCCCTTTCAGCAAGTGGGCTGTGGCAGGCTCAGTGACACATGAAACAGCCTATACCTACAGAAGTCAACTAGCTTGTTTAGGGTCCTCAGCCAGTCACAGTCCAGTCTTCCAACCTTACCTGGCTATCATTCTCTGCTTATTGTAGTTTGAGTGACAGAAGCTTGAAGCTGGGTCTTGTATGCCATTGGCTTGGTGGAACTTGTTTAGATAAACCAAGCTTGTCTGAATGTTTGTTTTCCCAACCCATTGGCTAAATTCAGCCTTTAATGTTCTTCCCCTTTGGTACTGTAAAATTTTTTTTCTTCTTCTTTTCAGTACTGAGGTTTTGAACTTAGGGGCTCTGGCTTGCCAGGTAGGCACTCTACCACTTGAGCCACACCCCCAACCCATTTTTCCCCTTTGGAGAATTTAGGTTCTCAAGTCAAATTGTATGGATTCAGATCTAGTTTTGTCTCTTGCGTTCTGTGGGCCTCAACTATAAAATGGTGATAAACAATAGTACCCTTCACATGGAATTGCCTGTAATTCAAATGATGTACAAATAGTCCCCAACTTAATGATTGTTCAACTTACGATTTTTTGACTTTATCATGGTGTAAAAGCATATCCATACAAACATTCTGTTTTTCATTTTCAGTACAGTAGTCAATAAACTACATGAGATATTCAACACTTTGTTATAAAATGGGCTTTATGTTAGATGATTTTTGCCCTGTATAGGCTAATATAAGCATTCTGAATGTGTTTAAGGTAGGCTAGACTAAGGTATGATCTTCAGTAAGTTAGGTGTATTAAATGCATTTTCAACTTAATATATTTCCAGCTTATAATGGTTTATTGATATGTAACCCCATTGTAAGTGAGGAGCATTTATAATATGTATAATACCTGGTACAGAGTGGGTGCTCACTTTTAGCTTCCTTTTCTTTCTCTAAGTGGGCTCACATAACAGCTGTCTGTTAGCTAGGTCCATCTTCATAGAGTCGTTGTGGAGACAGTATGTATAAACTACATTGACCTATACCTACCTAACATTTAGTATTTACTGTTACTGTTATTTTATTAAAAGACTTATGTGTGTAGAAGTGCTTAATACCTAATCATAGTATGTACTCTATAAATATTAGCTACTATTTTAACTTTGATTATTCCCAATCCACTGGCCAAAAGACCTGTGCAAGACCTAGGGCTATGCGTGTCACTGTGTCTGCCCCCAGCTGATGCCTCTGCCTCTGCCCTCCCCTTAGAACTTGGGAAAATCGAGGTGACGGTGTTTGACCCAAATTCCCTGGACCCTGATCGCTGTGAGAGCTGCTATGGTGCTGAGTCGGAAGACATCAAGTGAGCCAGACCCTTGGGGCAGGTAGCACTGTTAGTCAGCTTCAGCCTTGGTCAGACTATGGCAGGTATGAAGAACAGACAGACAATTTAGAGGAGGTAGGGTGCATGCCTCCATCACTGATCCTGGTGCAAGTGACTAAGGCTTTGTGAGCGGACCCTGCCTGGGAGCTGCAGACTGGGATGAAACTGAAGTTGTCCTTGCTTTTCCACCTAGAGAAATTGTTCAGAGATTGTCTCGAGTCCAGCTGCCTGGGTTCCAGCCCTGTGTCCTGAATCTAAGCCGTGGTACCTCCCTATGTGAAGAGGGATAATAACACCCTCCTTGAAAGAGTCACATAAGGAGTAAATGTATATTGTATGTAAAGCTCAGAGGTAGAAGGTCTAACACAGATTATTAAGCCCCCAGTATATTGTAACTGCTGGGGTGTTTCCCATGTCCTGACCACTGACAGGCCGATTCAGTAGGTCTGGGTGGGGCCTGGAAATATGAACTTTAAATTTTTTATTGGGGGTAGGGGTGGGTTGGTCTGGGAGTGTTGCTCAGAGCCTAGCATGCACAAAGCCCTGGGTTCCATCACCAGCACCACAAAAAAAAAAAAAAAAAAAAAAAGTTTTTTAAGGACACAACTCTGGCATTCATGACCATGTCCACCATTTGTTCCACAACTGTTCATCATCCCAAACAGAATGGGAGCATGTATTTTGAACAGCCCTGCTGTAACTGAAAGAACATTTGGTGGTCAGGGATGAGATTAGCAGTGGCTCCATTGCAGGAAAAACTGCTTGGACTTTATTTCCCAAGGTGCCAGCACTGGTCATGCTCTCACCTTCGCCTCTGTTCCTACAGGTGCTGTAACACCTGTGAAGATGTTCGGGAAGCATATCGCCGTCGAGGCTGGGCCTTCAAGAACCCAGACACTATTGAGCAGTGCCGACGAGAGGGCTTCAGCCAGAAGATGCAAGAGCAGAAGAATGAAGGCTGCCAGGTGTACGGCTTCTTGGAAGTCAACAAGGTACCAGGAGAGATTGAGGCAAGGCAGGGCAGCTGGGCTGACTGGGCTGGGAGAGCTCCACCATGAACAGAGGGACCACTCAGGCCCTCACGTGAAGGGAGAACAAGTCTGGAGAATGAGAGGAAATATACTCTACAGGTGGCTGGAAACTTCCACTTTGCTCCTGGGAAGAGCTTCCAGCAGTCCCATGTGCATGGTGAGTGATCCTGCTTTGTATCAACTGGAGAGGTTTAGACCCTAGAGGAGTTGTAGTTCCCCTAACCTGCCTGATGTTCTTTTGTCTTTAGCCCAGAAGTTCTTCATCTTGAGGCAGCAGTTTGACACAGAGATTTAGAGTCTGGGCTGAGGAGCCAGACTGCCTGGTTTCAGATGTCAGTTTCAAACTTTATTGACTGTGTGACTTTGAGGAAGTTACTTAATCTTTTTGAGCCTTCTTTATAAAATGGTGATGCTTGTACTTATCCTACAGGAGTTAATGTAGTTAAAGATTTTAGGGGCTGAGGGTGTATCTCAGTCGTTGAGTATTTGCCTAGCATATGCAAGGTGGCCCTGGGTTCAATCTCCAGTACTGGGGAAAAAAAAAAAAAAAAGAAAAGTTTTGAGCACAGAGCCTGGCTTTGGTAGGCAGATACTTGTATAAATGGTAGCTCCCCAAATCAGATGACCTGTATGTGAGGCTTTGGGGAAACAAAGTAGGGTTGGAACACAGGTTCTGCACTCTTTGAACTTTGTGTGTCATATTTGGGAAGAATGGAGCCTTCTTTAGTTTCTTCTCCTATAAATGATCTCTGCCTTTAGGACATTCTAGTAAAGAAACAGACAAACAAGTACATAAAATAAATGGTTTATCAGAATAAAAATGGGAGAAGTGAGGGTAGAACAGCACAGTGTTCATTAGGGAAAGACAGTAATCGTCAGGGAAAGACTCACTGTGGGGTTATATTTGGTTAAACCCAAGGAAATTGAGGGAGCCAGCCATATGGATATCTGCAGGGAGCATTTCAAGCAGAAAGAATAGTTACTGCAAGAATGTGCTTGGCCAGTTCCAGGTACCATAGGAAAGATAGTTTAGCTGAGACAGAGCGAGCAGAGGAGCGTGATGAGGAATGCGGTAATGATACAGAAGGAGTTCAGGGACACAAGTTTCTATGCTGTGTATGACGGAGAGCCCTGATAGGGTTTTGAAAGAGGTATATCATCTGACCCAACTTTTAAAAGGTAAGCAGTACTGTGACCACTCTGGGTAAGACTGTAGTGGGGTAAGGACAGAATCAGAAAGGTGGCCATTACAGTGATTGAACCAGGCCAAAGATGGTGGGACTTGGCCAAAAGTGGCGGTGGAGGTAGTGAGAAGAGAATGGGTTCTGGATATGTGTGGAAGGTAGAGCTGAGAAGAGTTGTTGGTAGATGTGAGAGATAAAGGAAAGAAGAGTGGAAGATCATGCCAAAATTTTGTGCTTGAGTAGTGGAAAGGATAGAGTTGCCGGTTAGCTGAGGAAAACTCAGGGACAGATTTGAATATTTGGAGGTAGGGGGTGTAAAGCAAGTATTCAGCTTCTGACATTTTCAGACCAATAGGTTGTGAGTATGCCAGGCACCCAAGATATCAGGTAAGTAGTTGGACATTCAAGCCTGGAGTACAGGGAGAGTACTGGCCTGGAGACAATGTTGGAGCCATCAGAATTTTTAAGACTATAGGACTGCATGAAATCACCCCAAAGGTGATTGGGGTGTAAGTGGAGAAGAGTCCTCTATGGCCTGAGCCCAAAGGCAT